AAATTAGACTAAGATTATGGCTAACAATTTAACTAAACGAGTGCAGGTCAAAATTGGAGTTCCGATCAAAAAAACTGTTCAAAGACTAGTTGTAATATTGGCCACAACCAATCCAGTCAATACCACTGAAATCCTTACTCGTGCCAGACGGGACTCCCAAACAGCTGAGGTGGATGGCGGGAACGCGGGGTTCGCCTTTCCATCACGCCAACTGGCGGAGCACTGTCGAATACCCGAGCGGTGTCCTCCTCGTCTCGGGCGGCGGCATCAGTGGCATCAGGCTGGTAGGACGGAGTCAGGGTGGATGCCATGGGCTGCGGTGGGTCCGACTCATCTTGTTCGTGAACCTCCTGCAGCCGACTCGGTCGATGATGACAACTTTTCAGCCGGTTGACGTGCACTATCAGCCGACGTGCCGTGGGCTCAGACAGCTTGATGCGGTAGGTGACGGCGGAGAGCTTCTCCTCGACTAGGTACGGTCCGTGCCACAGTCTAGAAAACTTGGCGGTTGTACCCGTCGGAATGGCCGGCACCAGAAGCCACACTGCATCACCAGCTGCAAACGTCACGGCCTTAGCGTTGCGATCATGGATATGCGCCCGAACCTGCTCATGAGCGTCCTCCAAGCGTCGGCGGAGAGCACTCACGAATTCCGGCAGGGACGCTACTGCGGATGCTGCTCCTGGCGGTAATCTAAATGCCAAGTCTTGAGGTAGGCATAGCTCCCGACCAAAGAGCAGATAGCTTGGACTGTAGCCGTTACTAGTCTGCGGCGTCGAGCGGTATCCCATCAAGAAGGCTGGCAACTTGATGTCCCAATCTCGATGATTCCGGCAGACATAGTGCGCCAGGCCACGCTCAAGCGTCTGGTTGAATCTCTCAACCAGACCGTCACTCTGTGGATGGTACGCAGTTGTCCTGGTTTTATCTATGCCAAGCAGAAAGCAAACACTGCGAAACAGAGAGCCATCAAAGTTTTTGCCCTGATCGGTATGCAACCGATCAGGAGCACCAAAACGTGACACAAACTCATTAACAAACACCAAAGCAATAGTGGAAGCATCCATTCTCGAAAGCGGAAAAGCTTCCACCCATTTAGTGAAATAGTCAACTACAACCAAAATATGGCGGTTCCCTTCCGCTGTCTCCGGCAAATTGGGGATCAAATCCATTGCTACTCGCTCAAAAGGATACCCCGTCCAGGAAGACTGCATTGGAGCGCCAGACCCTCTGCCTACGGGACGCTTCAACTGGCTACAGGAAGAACAACTTGCAACCCAATCCAAGACATTTTTCTTCATGCCTACCCAGTGAAATTGTTGCGTCAGTTTCTTCTGCAGGCGTGTAGAACCCGTATGTCCCCCCTGGTCATGATACTCTTGCAAAACCAAAGAACGTAAATGCCGGGGAACAACGACTTGCAAGATAGATGGCTTACCGTGGCAGGGGTCCTCCCAACGACAGCACAACACCCCCTCATGATGAACCAGCATTTCATGATTTTCCACAAAATACGTACCTCAGGACTGCTACCCATCATGTCCTGTGGGCAAGGCGGAGACTCCATACCTAGCCAGGACACTACTTGGGCGAGATCTCGGTCCTTCTCCTGTTCCGTTTCCCATCTTGACCACGGCCAGTTGAAACGGCGGATGAGGGGTTTGGGGATGTTGCCAACGTCGTTGTTCACGGCCCCTACGAACAGCGTCGTCGGAGCGTCAGGGCGGCGTGACAGTGCATCAGCGTTAGCGTGCGATCGACCTGCCCTGTACAATATGGTGAACTCAAATTCAGACAAAAATTCCAGCCAGCGAGCCACAATCGCCGGTGGATTTTTGAAATTAGCCAAGTGTTCTAGAGAACGATGATCCGTACGAATCACAAATTGTCCACCAAGCAGGTAGCAACGAAAATGTAGCACAGCCCATGCCAAACCCAACAATTCCTTTTTCGTGGATGCGTACCGTGTTTCTGTATCGGCCAGAAGTCGACTAGCCTACGCTCTCGGCCGTTGCAGACCTTCCTGAACCTGAGACAGCACTGCTCCTAATCCTAGTCCACTAGCATCTACGTCTACCAGAAATGGTGATGCATCTTGCCCAAACCTGGGGTAAGCTAGTCCTGGGGCGGTCGTCAGCACTGTCTTCAGATTCAGGAAAGCGGTTTCACAGTCAGGGGTCCACAAAAACACTTGGCCAGTTTTCGTCAGGCTGTACAAGGGGCGGGCAATGGTGGCAAAATCTTGGGCAAACCGCCTATCATACCCACAGAATCCCAAGAAACCACGCATTTCTCCAACTGCTTCAGGGGTAGGCCAGTTTCTGACTTTCTCGATCTTACCCGGGTCGGTCCTAACCCCCTCCCGGGTAACAATGTGGCCCAGGAACTCAACACTTGTGCGGAACAAGAAACACTTACTGGGCTTCAACCGCAGATCTGCCTTCAAGAGGCGGTCAAAGACTTTCACTTTAGATTTCAGTTTCAACACTCCATAATCCGAACCCACAGTACTGATTGAGGCGGGGGAGGTAGAGAAGAACATTCGCCCTTGTCCCGAAGAAATTGTGCAAGGAATGTGGGATAATACGTCCCGGCCAACAATACAATCACGCGGCAACCCCTTAACAATTCTTACCCGGTGCCAACAGGTTGCATCTCCGAGTTCCAACTGAACAATTTCTGATGCCACGGCTTCTAGTGGTTGCCCGTTGGGGCCAATCTACTTCGGGCCTTGGTCAGAGGTCTCCTTTTCCAGCTCCTTAGGTAGGCGGTCGGCAAAATCCTCTGACAACAATGTAGCGGCGGATCCTGTATCAATCACAGCGTCCACTGGACATCCATTCACCGCTCCAGGCACCAACATGTCCGCACGCTCACTCGCATGTTCAATGAAGACAGAACACATAGATCAGGCTATTGTTTTCTGTAGCAGTCTAAGTTTTGCAGATACTAACTTCAACCCCAGGGTTCCACTTCCGGAGAAAATCTACAAAAGCAGATGCAAACGACCTCCCTTCTTTTGTTAATAATGACAACTCTCGGAGTAAGTACTCCCACAAACTGAGAACCCGCAGAACAAGGGCACTAGACTAGAGCTATCCGATCTCTAAAGAGCGGTAATAGCATCAGCTACATCCCAAAGGCTAATTCATAGGTTTCTTCTGGGAACTCGCAAGGCCTAGGACTCAGCAATAATCAGTCTGCAATCAGCCACATGCACAGAGCTAACAAGCGCTGCAAATGCGTCAATTTGCAACAAATACAAACTGGCGTATTTTTCCAATTCTTCCTTACCGGCAAGGTCAGGGGACCAGCGAGGATCGCACTGTAGGGGCATCGATTCCACTCCCACCGATGGGGCGGTAGAAACCCTACAGCAATGGCTTCAGCTACAATAGCTGCACGAGCATGAGCAGCTGCTGAGACAGCGCGGGAGGCAACAGCAGCTCTTTTTCACAGCACCTGCTGAACCACAAGGTCACAAACACAAAACCACGAAAAAAACACAAGCCACAAGGGCAGCAGGAAAACTGCTGCCACTATGCCAGCTTCGTCATACAGGTCAAATTCTCCATTGACGCCATGATCAAACCCTTGACTTGGCGGCACTCCACATCTGTTTCCAGAATGCGAATGTCCATACCAAGTGACACAAACCAAAATAATGGATATACGACGCCACGTGGAATTTTCGTCAAACTTACGATCACGAGCAACAGCCCAAGAACAACCATACCTTCTTCTTGATAACCTTGAGATCTCGTAGAAGTCCGGTCATTCGCGGATCGGGCAGCGGAAACTCTGCCCGTCCATTCGAACAACCGGGGCATCACAATGTCTTACTCATCAATGTCTCTCTCGTTGACAGCACACAAGGTGTCGGATCCTGTTCACTGCGCCAAATGTCGTATCCGGTCGGCCCCGGGGTTGCGCTACCCATCATGTCCTGTGGGCAAGGCGGTCGTCGACATGAACTAACTTACTAATAAACCTTCACATTACAAGGCCGTGCAGTGGTGGCCACTTGAAGAGAGTCCACCAACAGAATTACTCTTACGCACGCACGCACATATACCTGGACATACTCTCACACACACACTCAGGCATATACAGACACGTACACTCACACCAGCGTTCAGGTTGACTCACATCTTCAAAAAGAGCTAACTTGGTTCAAGAGACGATAATTATTGAGAGCACAAGGCAAGAGAGACGAAAGCCGAAGCTTCCGCCTGAAGGCGGAAGGCAAGAGAGAGAGAGAAGAGCAAGGAGATGGCAATATGATCTAGTTGCGGCCATGGAAATCCATGGCCACGAGATTGCTGGTCCCGCATGCAATAGCGTATCAAACCGTAGTAAATATGCGTACGAACTGTTGCATAAAGAGCGGGAGCCATGTGGGGAAATAACAGCGTATACTAAATAAGGAAGGCCCCAGGCCTTGTTGAAGATATAACATAAAGACGATTATGAACCCATTTACGGGAGATAGATAAATAATTACACACCTAAATAAGGCATACGTGTCCCGTAGAGGCCTAAAAGGCACGTGTCCATAGTATGGATACGACACTGTGAAGATGGAGACTTCTACTCGGTAGCAGATACTCGTATCAATAAGCTGGGAGGGAGAGCGTGGCGAGTAAAATGTTGGGATGAAAAGAGGCACATTCTCTCTCGGAAAAAGTCGTCGTTCCCACATACGTACACTTGCTCTACCCAGATCTGCAGAAGGCTAGATTTTGCATGTACATGCGAGATTCGCATTCGCCGCGCACAAAGACAGAGTCAAAAATTTTGTACTCTCGGATTTGCCGCCATCTTGACGCTGCGAAACGCCCGTGGTCTGCGTGCTGTAAGAGGGAACTGACTGCTTGGTCTGTTCTCAGACCAAACCAGGTGAACACGCCCTAAGACAACGTCCAGTGTACGAACTGCAGCTATGGCCAGTGCACCAACTGCAGATTTTCTTTTGTTGACCTTTCTGTTTAAATCTACAGGTTTCTACCGCAGATGTCACTTTGACACTGATTGTGCCACCTATCAAACATGTGTCGATTTCGGAACTTTGAAAGTGTGCTTAAGTAAGTGCAGTATGTGTGTGTGTGTGTGTGTGTGTGTGTGTGTGTGTGTGTGTGTGTGTGTGTGTGTGTGTGTGTGTGTGTGTGTGTGTGTGTGTGTGTGTGTGTGTGTGTGTGTGTGTGTGTGTGTGTGTGTGTGTGTGTGTGTGTGTGTGTGTGTGTGTGTGTGTGTGTGTGTGTGTGTGTGTGTGTGTGTGTGTGTGTGTGTGTGTGTGTGTGTGTGTGTGTGTGTGTGTGTGTGTGTGTGTGTGTGTGTGTGTGTGTGTGTGTGTGTGTGTGTGTGTGTGTGTGTGTGTGTGTGTGTGTGTGTGTGTGTGTGTGTGTGTGTGTGTGTGTGTGTGTGTGTGTGTGTGTGTGTGTGTGTGTGTGTGTGTGTGTAAGTAAGTAGGCATTCACTGGCCAGAAAAGGCACCATGATTATTGTGTCCGACCCCTTGAGTCCATGGTGCATTGGTAACCCCTCGAGCAGCAGAGCTGTTTCTGCTGCTCATTAATAATATTAAGACCTTTCTTTCGGGATTACCCAACGCCGGCGAACGCCTATCAGGGGGGGGGGGGGGGAGGGATCTCCTATTTGAACATGTGCATATGTGTGTGTGTATAATGTGCCCTAGCACACGTATAAGTTATACACGTAGATCATGTCCATGATGCCTTTCCTCAGCACAGGTCCACCGCACTATTGTTTAAGATTTTCATTGTTACTTCTTAATATGCACTAGTATAATTGCGCTGGCTCCATCCCTCATCTCCTGAGCTACAACCCCTCCCCCCCCCCCTCCCTCCCGGTGCGTCTGCCCAGTGTTGACTCCGACACCCACGGTCGGACGAACTGCCCAGGCCTCATCAGCACTGCAATTTCTGTGCTGCATTCTCTATACATTATGTATGTGCACAGTGTAGCATGTGCACATTCACAAGTCTGAAGGTTTGGGGTTTTCAAAAAAAAACTATAGAAAAAAAAACTTGCAGTAGCCCTGGGTGGCCAGTCTCAAGCAAGAAGTAGCAGGTGATGATTATATTGTAACTCCGAGTGCCGCATGCTAGACGACCATCAGACAACATTAACGAGATAAGCCCGCATGCTGGCTAAGATATGATGGGGCCTATCTGCTCGATTACCCCTATAGACTGGCGGCGGGCAATCTACCACCCAACATACCATCGCCAGCATACATGTACTACAATTGGTTAACATGAGGGTGACACTCGAGACGTTTTCTGATCATAGGCGACATCACCGGATTAAACGTGGCTACGAACCGAGAGCCTTATTATTATTATTAGGCAAAGTGCAGTGATTGCGCGTAGGATGAGTGGGAAGAAACCAGTTATATTTACGCAATTGTGGCGGGGCTTTGTCAAGACGAATAGAATGAACAACAATACACAGTTTTCGATCCGCTTGACTAGAGATGGGGAACGTGTTAAACATATCATACATACAGCTTGGCAGAAGGAAAGTATGATGGTTTGCGGAAAAGGACTTTTAGTATCCTCTTTTTTCCATCCTTACAAGTTCAGGAGCAGGAGTGCAATACTACACCATCACGAAGAAATTAATACATATGAGCCAGAGCACGCCAGAATACGACCACAGACCAAAAATTCGATTTTCAATTTTTTGTTCAAAAATGATCTAGCACACCTAATGTTCACTGTCTGCAAGTTTTGGATTGATCCGACATGTCTAAGTGTTGCTACAATGGTATTATATGCAGCATTGTTGAAATGGTGAAATTCTATGTACAGCAATTGGATTGTCATTTTTGCACACAATTGATATGCCCCTTGGTTCATCCTTTTCGGGTCAGTTCCTCTGTCCAGGGTCTTATTGAGCTGACAGGTACTCAGCCACATCCAAATTGTCTATAGGCAGCTGAACTGGGTGTCCGAAATACCTCCTGTTTGGAGCACCACTAGAGAACTGCCAGCAAAAACACAGTCAACATCTGTAGATGGCCGAAGAAGTTGGCACTCCATGTCCTCTCCATCACACTCCACCTGTACTTTCAGATATACAGTATACACTGCTGCACACAATCTTCCTCAACATACTAGACGTCGCACTCATATTCCCCACACCAAAGCCCATCTGCACACGGTTTTCTCCGCTCGCCAGAGAGTACTGCTTTCGCTGCATACTGCTCATGCTAGCGATGTTCCGCATAAGGGTACTCAAATTATCGACTTGAGCAAGTTGAGGTAGCAGCAGAGTCCATTGATTGTTTTGCTCTTGCAACCAATACTGGCATTGTCCCGGATATGTGCAGCGATGTCCATTCTGGCCAAATCATCGGCCGACTCAGCTCCCAAGTCAGTGTCGATGCCAATCGCTTGCCAGGTTGTCAACAGAGTAGAATTCCTCGTCACAGCAGATCGTGGGACTACCAGCATCAATTCATTTTACGCTCGATGAAAGTGTCGCCCTCAAATGACTCGTCACTGTAGCCATCATCGTCTTCCTTCTGTTTCCGACTCGAATCCTCAAAATATTTTTTCCTGTGCATGGAGTGCGATGATGTCGTCTTCTTCCGCTCCGCAGTACATTACTACTACTAGGCTCTTCTGTCGATACATCGATGACGATCAGTTTTAGGCAACTCAGCGCAACATGGAATACAAACTCTAACAAATAAACTTACATGCAACAAGGAATTGCATCCGGAACAGTCCAGTCGACCGAGGAGAACAACAACAGCGACTCGCGTTGCACTGCACTTCGTATTTTTGCCGCGGAATTCAAATCGCGATTATCTCGACTTTTTCAAAAAAAGCTGTGGTCATGTTTTAGCGCGCTCGGGCTCATATTAGAAGGAGGTCATGGAGACACCCACGTGGGGTGCGATAATCTTTCGTACCACACCAAGTCTCTCTGCACACAAACCACAAAAACTACCCAATATAATGGTACACAAGCATAATGGAAGTGAGATAATGCATGTAACCTCATTCTAAAATAGTCCATGGCAGGGAGGGCCTCATGGCTTGTTTGTGCCCTTCAGGGTAGCCCTCGGGCCTACGGCCCTCAGGCTAACCTGTCGGGCACTAACAAGCCGTAAGGCCCTCCCTACCATGCACTTACCTATAAATAATATCCTATGAATAGAACGAAGGCTGCAGACATCGCCACGCAGCATTATTTCCGCAATCCGTAGGTGTCCTTTGTCAGCACAACCTGACCGCTTGGAAACTTCTGTTCTTTCAATGGCTACGCTTGGTTCAGTCAATTCCACTGATGATTGGAACGGAAGATCGATTCTGTATACTCTAATACACCGACAATCATACCGAACTAATTGCATGTTGCGTGGTGATATCTTCAACCATCGTTCCATTCATAGCTGTATTTCAACCTATATCTGCCTCCGGGTACACAGGCGTTCAACATTATGCAAGACAAAACAAAGAAACGAGCGGGGGTCAATGAGAAATGAGGTGCTAATACGCACGCAAATCCAGGCAACAACAAAAAATAATACATCAAAACTCTCCTTAAAGGGGAAGTCCGGTGAAACATTTAAATTTCACAGTCCGTAGATTTCGGGGCGCTGAGTCGAATGGTCTTTGTCCGAGGAGGCTGCGGCTTATGGTTCGTCAGATACGCCCAATCGAACATGTGCGAATTTGAGCGCGCATCACCCAGATCCAGGTGATGACGTCACAGCGTGCAGCCAGGTAGCCACACCATCTAGTTGTGTACAAAAATGGCCATATTCGGAGCGCGTTCGATTGGGGAACCGTTTATCGCAGCTTCTTCGGACCAAGACCATTCGATTCAGTGTTACAAACACTACGTACCCTGTGATTTTCAGCTCGGTAAACCTGGAGGTTATACCGTATTTTAGCCGTTTCCGAGTTGGACTTTTTTTTACTATTAATTGTACATGGTCTATGCGCTCTGCGCTGCGTGCATGCAGTGCGTGCAGTGTGTTATCTAGCTGTAGTGCAGTCAACAAACTCATGTCACAACTGACACAAGACTCAGAAAACTAGTGAACACACGGACTTGTCATGTAGATCTACTACACTCGTATCAGTCGTATTGTACAGTCATGTAGTCAGAGAACGTGCGTTTCTCCTTGCCGGTGCCGGTGGTTGTGCTTTGAGAAAGAAAATTTTAGTTTTCCGCACCCACGGCGCCTCATTATTTTATGCTACAACGATGAGTGCACAACCGTGACAAGTGACAAAACAGCGAACAGCTCTCGGACCTAGAACTTTCAGATTCCATAGCGTTGCGAGCGAAGAGTCGTGCCCGTGGTTCAAAGAGCCTGCACTGTTCTCCAATTGAGCAGTCCGAAATATTCCAAGTTCGCACCAAAACATCACCATGTGGCAGGTTACTGGAGTCTAAGCGAATCTAATCGGTATGGAACAACATTTAGAGCACTCGCATCACTCTTCTCCATTTTGGCGACCCTGCTCTCCAGCGATCTGATAATTACATCAGCCTCGTCTGCAATAGCTGCTGCTTCTTCATCAGTCGGAAACTCAGTAGCGCTCACTCTTGACCGGCCCGCGCGGCCATTTCTTCAGCTGACTACCGAGGTTCTCAGCCCCAGACCGAACTCATGAAGGTCAGCCATGGCTGCATCCTCACTCTCACAAGGAGTTACATGTCTTCGGGGTCGCTTGCCCCACCTAATATCAGTCGCCAAATCATTTGAAATAGCACTGACACTATACTATTGCTTTCACGCACTCCTTTTGACCTAGCTGCACGCTATGACGTTGCAGAGGGTGTGGCGCGGCCGCATGACGTCATGGCGCAGCCCCCGAAACTCAGTTTTTCAAACGGAAATATCTCGAGACTGCTTTGTCGGAGACACGTGGGACCAACACCATTCGACTCAGCGGCCGAAACTCTACCGACCCTGAAATTTAAATTTTTCACCGGACTTCCCCTTTAACACACACGAGCTCTCAACCATTAAAAAAACCGAAACCTGTACAGATAGTTGACGCACCAAGTGTCAGGGACAGTTTACGTATGCAAAATGCACCAAGACGGTTTTACGTGGTATTTTCTTTTAAAATAATTTGGACCATACATACTGCCAGCTGTTGATCATCCACAAACTAAATGTACTCAAGACAGGCTTTTGTGTGCAGCAAAGCTTCAGAAACAGGGTTTTGTCTATGAGGCAGGCACTCTGCCTACCAAGAAGAGCTCTACTGAAACTCCGCATTGAGAATTCAGCCAGACCAGATTTTGTTTGTCTCTCTTTTTCTAACCTTCAGCCGAACACGCAACCTGCAAGAAGCAAAGTTCCAGCTGGATTGGACTAGGTTTCGGCTATTTCACGTATCCGGAAGCCGCTTCAAAATGCCGGCAACTGAACTATGATTTGGTCCCGGAGGAGCTCTATAACCCTAATATCAATTGTGTTGCCCAAATGGCTCGGAGGATGCTGATAAAACAGCCCACAAAGCATTCTGAAATCGCAATATGGTTCACTCCAATGTACACTCATACAGTTTACTCGAACTTTAAGCTCTTCAAGCATAAGGGATTAGCCGATACAAGTAAATCCAACAATGTTCAAAGACGAGAGGTTGCGATTATCTGCTCAAAGCCACTGTAAGTCCCAGTCAACAACTGCATGATGTCATAATGTACAGTTACTATTGTATCATACCGTAGAGTTGTGGTCCCAGTCAACAACTGCATGCATGATGTCATAATGTACACCACATCGCCTCTTGTATGCTCATAAAACTCACATCTTATCTATTAACGAAATTCGTCTTGTTAGCAGTATACCCGCATCTAGCGTGCATATCCCAGGCTATAAGCTGTACCGCAGAAACCGAGATTTACATGGTGGTGGAATTTGCTTTTATATCCATTCTGCCACTCACTCAGTGAGAGTACCAGTGATTGGCTCAAGAGAAGAGTGTCTGTTTGTCTGTGTTCATATTAGCGCTACGCCAAAGACCACGAATTGTTTTTGTGCAGTGTGTACCGTTCACCCAATACTGCTGTTAATTTTTGGGACCTGTATAGCCAGCATCTTGATGCCGTAACCTGCAGCGACTGTAGACTTATTGTGCTTGGAGATTTTAACACTGATGTGCTACACCCCACAGCCACTAGTAACTATAATTAAAAGCACTTGTTCAACTTCTGTGCAGAGTTTCACCTACACATAGCGTTCGATTGGTACAACCTAGAACAGGATTCACCAGAAAAGCGCCTTCGATTGGTACAACCTAGAAGAGGATTCACCAGAACAGCGCTTTCGACTGGTACAACCTAGAACAGGTTTCACCAGAACAGCGCGTTCAATTGGTACAACCTAGAACAGGATTCACCAGAACAGCGCCATCGATTGGTACAACCTAGAAGAGGATTCACCAGAACAGCGCGTTCGACTGGTACAACCTAGAACAGGTTTCACCAGAACATCGCGTTCGATTGGTACAACCTAGAACAGGATTCACCAGAACAGCGCGTTCGATTGGTAAAACCTAGAACAGGATTCACCAGAACAGCGCGTTTGATTGGTACAACCTAGAACAGGATTCACCAGAACAGCGCCTTCGATTGGTACAACCTATAACAGGATTCACCAGAACAGCGCCTTCGATTGGTACAATCTAGAAGAGGATTCACCAGAACAGCGCGTTCGACTGGTACAACCTAGAACAGGTTTCACCAGAACAGCGCGCTCGACTTGTACAACCTAGAACAGGATTCAGCAGAACGGCGCGTTCGGTTAGAACTGTACCTGCCCTGGGTGGGCCTGAACATGTTCTGCTTGCACCAGCCTGGAAGCCGGAGCTGACTAGTCGACTGAGCAGTTTCGCTTTTCTAAAGGGAAACCTGGCGGGAACACCGATTTTGGTCCCAGAGTGTTGCATTAAAGCGCAGCGTTTATGCTCATTAACAGCTAGCATCATTGCAGCTCACCGCCGCGGGTACGTGCTGCCCAATGTCCTCGAATGCACATGGTGCCGCACAACTGCCCCTGCTGCCCCATGCCCTTGCATGCGCATGGTGCCGCACAATTGTCTCCGCCGCCCTTTGTCCTTGCAGGCATGTGGGGCCGCACACCTACCTCTGCCGCCCCATGTCCTTGCGGGCGCATGGCACCGCACAACTGTCTCTGCTGCCCTGTGTCCTTGCGCAGGCAAGGGGCCGCACAACTGTCAGTGTTGCCACTCACATTTTTTTCCCCAGCGCAGACAACGTGCCCATGACGTCAGCAACCATACTGATGTCCGGTTACCATGACGCAAAAATTGCGACCCATTTTTCTTGGACGCCCTATTGCCCCGTTAGGGCCATGCAAGAGTACCTGTCGCTCTCGTCACACTCCAGTCAGCAACCACTGTTCTGCTACGCCTCCGGCACGCCACTGACTCGCAAGAAGCTTATGGGGAAGCTCAGAAGCCTCCTGCTGTCGGCCGGCATAAGCAACGCCAAGGATTATGCGGGGCACTCGTTTCGCATAGGGGCGACGACCTCAGCTGCATCATGTCGCATCCCAGACTGACAGATCCGAATCTTAGGCCGCTGGCAGAGTGACAGCATGCTACGCTACATCAGAACGCACTCCGCAGAACTGGCCCCTGTGGCCAGGACTGTGGCTGAGGCACTGATCTAAGTCCCCGGCTGCCTAAGAAGTAAGAACACAATGTAATAATATTTGCGGAATCCGCGTTGCCATAATTTGAACGTTGAGATACGCACATGCTAGCCTTCACATTCACAGGCCAATATTATGCCCCTTGTCTGTCTGCCTTGGGTTACGGTGCCCGGCCTGTATGGGCTCTCCATTTCTCCATTGAATGCATCAGTGGGCTCTTGGCTCTTGCCAACCCTGCTATTACTTGCCCCCCGGGCAAATGCAATTCAATTTCGCCGGCCACGCACCATCCACCCAAGCAATGTGTGTTCTTGTTAATGTCGCATTAAAGCGAAGCGTTGATGCTCATTAACAGCTAGCATCATTGCAGTTCACCGCCGCGGGTACGTGCTGCCCCATGTCCTCGAATGCACATGGTGCCGCACAACTGCCCCTGCTGCCCCATGCCCTTGCATGCGCATTGTGCCGCACAACTGTCTCCGCCGCCCTTTGTCCTCGCAGGCGCGTGGGGCCGCACACCTACCTCTGCCGCCCCATGTCCTTGCGTGCGCATGGCGCCGCACAACTGTCTCTGCTGCCCTGTGTCCTCGCGCAGGCACGGTGTCGCACAACTGTCAGTGTTGCCACTCACATTTATCCCAGCGCAGTGCGCACACAACGCGCCCATGACGTCAGCAACCATACTGAGGTCCGGTTACCATGACGCAAAATGGCGACCCATTTTTCTTGCTCCCTTGCTGACAATCTCTTCTCAAGAATTGTTCATGGTGGTGACTGGTTGTCAGTTTATTTGTTTCTCGTTCCCACCCTCCCTCTCCCATATTTATCCTCATATGCTTACTTTTATAAAGTAAACCCCAATAAACGGTGCCCGGCGGCTCTCCATTGCTCCATTGAATGCATCAGTGGGCTCTTGGCTCTTGCCAACCCTGCTATTACTTGCCCCCCGGGCAAATGCAATTCAATTTCGCCGGCCGCGCACCATCCACCCAAGCAATGTGTGTTCTTGTTAATGATCATGTGCAAACGCCTTTGGGTTGAACTTTGCATGCACTCGTTGTACCGTACAAAGTGACCATGTTTTACGTTTTGCATTCACTATCATGCATTTCGCATACAGTCGTAAAAAAATGAGAACCTCTACAAAGTGACCATGTTGTCTCGTACACATTTTGAAGAATGCACTAAAATGTGCTCTGTTTCTGGACTACGGTACAGTTTGGTCTGCATGAGGCTACTCCATGTGCACCAAATGTTTGATCCTGTTCTAGATCATACCACCAAAAACACCCTCTACGAGGTCATTTGCTATTTTTGGACACTCAAATTAAATAGCACCCCATTATGTTGGTTTGTAAGATAAATTAAATTTCTTTCTTGCTTTTCTACTGCCACACTTATGCTTTACCACCACCACACACACCTGAAGGCATAGAGTTGAAGCATGCGGCCACAACTTGACCTGATCGGAGGTGTCTTTTTCTACTGCTTTTTCAATGCGAGCAATTATTGGACAACTAAATTAAATAGCATCTAGCAGCAGTCTGCAATGGTGTGAACAAGTAAAACTTGCACAGGACATGAAAATGGGGTAAGGCTATGCCTATGAGACCGGCTGATGTGAGTTCTAATGACAGGCCGTTCATAGCAAGCTTTTCAAGTCTTTTCAATGTGACACACAATTTAAAGGGTCACTCAAGGGTTTTCATGGACGTCATATTCAAGAACAGAGGAGAGCACTCCAGTGTGGCCCATCTCCTTCTCATATTTCGCAAACAGTGGAGGGCTAGCGTCGTAACTAGCCGCTACGTCCTTCTTGGTTAGGAAGTGTTCGCTGGTGCCAGGTGAGTGGAACGCTCGCACTGCTAAAAGAGATTTCTCCTGACCAGAACCCCTCCACAAACGCACCGGTTGAGAAGGCGAGGCCCTCTTCCAGGCGGATTCGAGCTGGAAGACGTAGTCCCTGGAGTTGATGGAAGGGATACAACATCCCCCATGTCGACATTCTCTCCGTTATGCGACGTAGAGTCAACGGAATCCGCAATCATTTATTATTTAATCGAAAATTTCAAAATTATTCATTACATTACCTAAGAACAATAAAGAAAACGCCCAGAAAGAAACGGCCTTCACCGCTAAAAATTGGCACGAAGAAACTTGAGGACCACACGAAGACACTCTTGTCAAAGATTTGTCCACCAAGGAAAGGATAACGACTCAGGAGGACTCTACTTCCGTATTTAACTGATTTGTCCAAAAATTGCTACATGTCCAAAAATTGCGAATCACCTCGTACAGTCCGTTCCAAAAAGATTTGCCATCCTGGCGATCGCCCGCGGAGCTTGGCGTCTTACCGTATGAGCACTCGAGCGCTGCCTGGAAAAACTCACTTTGAACTCGAAGAAATATTCCGCGCGAAAGCAGGAAAATGACAACTTACTCACATTGATACAGTCATGTACGTCTGGTTTACAACAAACGAGTTCTTCCTCTCAATAATGGAGTCAGAGAGGACATGTCGAAACGAAAGTGTTGTAAATGTTGACGAGCGGCATGGGTCCCAATTCGTTTTGTGACCAAAATAGTTTCTTTGAGCTGCGATGCAATTTACTCACCGTGTGGCGAAAACGACATCGACACGGACTCATTCCCAGGCCATGACTTGGCAAAGCTATCCCTGTGACTTCGACGACATTTTGAGAAAAGCAGACGCTTGTGAACACTGATATACATGATAGAAGACGGCGTTGCACGTTGACTGCCAAATTCAAATATAATAATAATTGCCGATCTTGAAATACTAGAATAAATCTCAAAAAGCGACGGCACGATGACTTCCATATTCACTCACACCATTGCAGTGTTGTGGTTGTGTTCACATGGCGTGAGCCAGTCAAGTGTCAGTCAGTTCGGCAGGAAGCGCGAGCTCCAACAACAAGTCGTTTGGTGCAGCCATCTTCTTTGTCTTGTACCAGCTTGATCACCAAAACAATGAAAAAAAGTGTGACTTGAGGATAGGTTGGGATTTGAACTCACAACTAACGTTACTTCATGGTCAGCAGACAGCATTCATAACCACAAGGCCAAAAAGGAAAGGATAAATCGTGGGTTTTGATAAAAATCGATACTGGCTTCCTGGGCAAATTGTAAACCATGGGAAAAGGCCGGAAACCTGGCCGAAATACTAACTCCTTAACGGCTGGTCCAATTGTTCCGAAACCTTCACAGAACAATTTGCCGTGTCCTAACAAGCCATTCTATGTACTTTGTGGTCAAAATTTCCCTTATCTCCATACTTTTTAAGACCCAAACCTGATTGTAAATCTTTTTGATACAGACTATAGGTGTAATCCTAAATTCAGGTGCCTAGCTAAAATACGGAAATTAAAGTTAAACGGAAACTAGGGGATTGTACAGTATGGACTTGCATGGAGAGTAACCAGCTTCTGTACCCTGCTTGTCAATTGTGTTCTGCAGATAACGTCAGATGGGACGATGGAGCTTGGTCGCGAGGTGTTCGTCACGTGAACTTAGCCATGCAGACATTGAAATGCACACCTGTTTCAATGCAGTATCTGGTATTATAAACTTTTTTCTCATTTCTGTTTGTTCTATGCCACTTGTTTGTTCTTTTTTTTGCTCCAAGAATGTATGCAGCATGCTTCTGTCTGGTTTTTCCTCCTGCCATGCGCCCTGGTTGTGGTCTTGGGGTTTCCCCTACACTCTGGTGGTCTGGCTAATATTTGCCATACACTTTAGGCAAATACAACCGTTTTGCTGTTCAATTTCGTTCTTTTTGACTTTGTTATGATAACTCCCAAAGAAAACTGGATCATTGAGGGGAACTTCGCGAGCTCCTTATTCAGTAGAGGAGAGTCGAGGTTAGAGGGCAGATTTGCTCCAGTTTCACCACCACAGTTGCCTCTGCAACCACCTCTATCATGCAGTATTCTGTTGTCGAGGTTCGTGGTTTCTCGTAAAAAGAGGGATACGGTGCTGCTGCGTACCGAAGAACGGTGGACACAAGTACGATGTTCCGAAGATAAGACAGGCTAGACCATTATGTACTCTCCACATTACCCGTTGGAGGCATTGTCTCCAGATCTAGTCTGAAAACCGAACCCATCCAAAGCGTGAAAGACGGAGAGAGAATCGCGAGCACCCCCTGAAAGTGGCATTGCGGCTGTGAAGGTATCCTAGCGTGCTGGAATAGAGTAGAGTTGCTTGAGGAAGAACACCGAGCCCGAAATATTAGCAACAGTGCAAAACCAGTGTGTGCGACTGTACACATCAGATCTGAAATAGCGCAGTTAGCGCACTACAGAACCATGATGAGGTCAACCAATGCACGATTTGCCTACAGCTCAAATTTTGTATTTCACAGCCCGGAAATTGGACAAGTTTGAATGATTTTAGACGTCTTGTTTTACGGCTTTGTGGTGACTGAGTACACGATGACTGAACTTGTGCACATTCGCTGACAAGTAAATTCACCAGGCTGTCTGTACTTTAAAAAAACGAAATCTGCACAAACAAAATGACATCCACCATCGCAATCGGTTGCGTAACTTTTCGCCAGGCAGGTGGCTTACCATGCCGTCAGAAATGACGTACTGCTCGGATTATGCTGCCAAAGGTAACATCCTGAGTTGCACACTCTGCTTAATGTACATGTACTCGTGTTACCTACTACCTGTAATAGTGTTTTGTTACTTGGAACCCCACAGCTTAAAGTCAAAGAGAACAGTGTACAATATTTCTCATTACATGTTGATAGTTAAGCCGTTAGCGACAATTTCTAAAATGACAGGGGAAGAGGAAACAAAACAAAAAAGAAGTGAGCGTGCAAACTTGAAACATTACCAATAAACCAGATAGGTCTGTCCAACAAGTTGGATGGAGAAAAAGGTCTGGATCAGCAACTCCTCGATAAAGCGTGTCAAGACTACTCGTAATGATAGGTGTAACGTTGGACTGGGTGATTGTCATGGCAGCGCGCTCTAGATAGGAACGCGCATTCACGCAGTTGCTGAGAGGGATACACGACAGTGAAATGAGCGCCGCTCAGCGAACGACACATTTCAATTTCAATATGTCCAATAACAGTCTGCAAGTTTGTGCCTGTACCTCTGGCGAGACGTGTCAAATAGATGGTTATCGATGACACAACTCACTCCCATAAAAGGAAGCAAGCCTAGTGGCAAAAATGATAATTTATTGACTTTTGAGTGTAACATGTACTATGAAGAGTCATTCGAGAAACGACTATAGAATGCTAGATCAGGTTCTGCATGTCACTACAAGCAGTACCACATGTTCAATTTCACACACGGCCGTCGGCTGTCGACTGCAGCATCGCTGATCTACGCTAGTCTAGATGTCTGGCCATATAAACGAAAAACAGGTACAAGACTGCTTAGGTGACATTCTCAGTGACCTTTGCAACGCCCACTGCACTGCACACGTCGGTAGTGTGTCGCATGCAGACGTAGAAGGAAAAGCATAGTATGAAAGCTAGGACCACGCGAGGCTGTCCATAGAGAATACGCACGCGCTTGAAAGATGGGGAGCAACTTCTACCCACGGCATTTACCTCTCCTCCAGATATCTTTAAGTAAAGTTCTTCATTTGCTGTTGTATGCACCAGTTTACCAATAGTCTGGGAATTTCCGCCGCTAGCCACTCAATTTCCAACGCTAGGAGCTACACATTTTCGCTCCACTTTAAAAGCCACTACTGCTGCTTCCGGTGTTGCCATGCGTGGATGTGTGCACGCTGGAGTGGCCGCTGCTGAGGCTGCTTCCGGTGCTGCTGTCTTTCGCTGCGTGAATGTTGGGCAGAACAAGCCGGTGTTTCGAGCTGAGGCATCACCAAGAGGCATGTGAAAACAACCAGGACAAACAGGAGAACACTAAATAAGAACAGGTGGTACAACGAGTTCATAACCCCCATGAGTGGACAACTCCACTTGGGTCCTGTCCGGACAGAATTTCAAGTTGACGTCATTCTCATGATGCAATATACGTATAATGAGTTGACGTATCCTGGACATGTGCCGTGGACAAGTCTGGCTTGACATTGTGCAAGGAAACACGTGCAATACGTTTAAACCCTGTGCAAACATCGTAAATCACTCGTCTGAAGACCATCGCGTCATAAAGAATGAGGTCAACTTGAAATTCTGTGGAACAGCGGGGTATGTGGGGTTTGCACACTCTGGGTTGGTACAGCACTGTCAGGCGCCGAAGAACTGGGAGTCAGGGTTCTAGCCTAGCCCATTCCTATTATTAGCGAACACAGCAGTTTCGTTCTTATTCCATGGTATAGTCTTACATGTACATCTGTGCAGAGTTATTCGTCTGAGTGTCCAGTATAGTGTACATTACGGTTCGCGTTCTTATCTGCAAAACATCCAGGCTACACCGTTCTTAAAAATTGGTAAAATTCAAGCCTGGCCGTTCTTCGGCGGTCCGCTCTTCGGGCATGTGTGCGTGCGTGTGTGTGTGTGTGTGTGTGTGTGTGTGTGTGTGTGTGTGTGTGTGTGTGTGTGTGTGTGTGCAGGGGCATATGTGTGTGCCTGTGTGTGTATGCGTGTGTGTATGTGTGTGTGTGTGTGTGTGCGTGTGTGTGCTTCCTCCGGAAACAAGATGTAGTGAATTTTTCACATGACTCTTCAAGGGATTACTGTCCTCAACAAAAGTGTTTTTTAATGGAAGAGAAACACTTCTACATGCTCAATGGACATGTGCACATTATCTACAGGATCGATTGATGGGAATAGACTCTCAGTCTGCGTCGCCATCGCTTGATTCATCACGGCTGGAACCAACCAAGTGGCAGTCGCGTTCTCTCATGTCACGGAGCAGCTTCTCAGCGTCCTTGTCATCTTTGCTGTTACTAGTACGTGATTTACACCCGTGCCTTACAGGTGGAGACCGGGGTGGTGGGGTCCTGCTGATACTCTGGTACCGACTTGGCTCTCGAGAATGCCCCGGAATGACGCGTACTGATAGAGGTAGAGCCAAAAACTTTGCATTTCTCTTGTGTTGTAGTCGTACCATCACGTCCCGACTGCTGCGAGGAGGTCTCGCCTGTCCTCCTATGCTACCAAGGCGACATCGGAGTGGACGCTGCTGAAAAAGGCAAAGATCTTCCAGTGAACGACGACTTCGATTTTGAACTTTTTAGCTTTGCTGCGCTGCGCGAAGTGACGAGTTGCACGTCTTTGCAATCGGAGCTTTGACATCTTGCCGACCTGTTCGCACTTTGGCTGGTGTTTTTGGGGATGACACGGATTTCAAAATGCTAGATGCTATGCCTTTCACACTCTTCTTGCTCCTCAGTGCTATTGTCCTGCTCTTCCTTTTCTGAACCAAAAACTAGCAACGCCGAGCAGTGAGCCCAGTGCTTTTGTTGGCAATGACTAGCAATGCCGAGCAGTGAGCCCAGTGCTTTTGTTGGCAATGACTAGCAACGCCGAGCAGTGAGCCCAGTGCTTTTGTTGGCAATGACTAGCAACGCCGAGCAGTGAGCCCAGTGCTTTTGTTGGCAATGTGCTGGTGGACAATAGTACAAAACATCGCCGCTGCGCTCGGTTTACGGCATGACACCTTCGCCTTGTGATGATTGTCGGCTTACCAGAATGAGAATCATGCCTTTCTACAGTTTGGATATGTCATCTGTTGGTGTTTTAGGCCGACAGAGCCACATAGAGATCGACAGAACAGCAGCGGAAATTAGTGAAAAAGTCACGAAGTTTTTTTGTTTCCGAAGGAAGTATGTGCTTGTGGCTGTTGGTGTGTGTTTGTGTGTGTGTATGTGTTTGTGTATGTGTGCATGCACGTGTGTGTGTGTGTGTGTGTTTGTGCGCATGTGAGCGTATTAGTTGAATGTAATATATACAGTATAAATAAAGGAATGTAAAGAGGGAGAGGGACACAAAAAACACAACAGAGAGAGAGAGAGAGAGAGAGAGAGAGAGAGAGAGAGAGAGAGAGAGAGAGAGAGAGACAGACAGACAGACAGACAGACAGACAGACAGACAGACAGACAGACAGACAGACAGACAGACAGACAGACAGAGAGAGAGAGAGAGAGAGAGAGAGAGAGAGAGAGAGAGAGAGAGAGAGAGAGAGAGAGAGAGAGAGAGAGAGAGAGAGAGAGAGAGAGAGAGAGAGAGAGAGAGAGAGAGAGAGAGAGAGAGAGAGAGAGAGAGAGAGAGAGAGAGAGAGAGAGAGAGAGAGAGAGAGAGAGAGAGAGAGAGAGAGAGAGAGAGAGAGAGAGAGAGAGAGAGAGATAGAGAGACAGAGGGAGAGAGAGAAAGAGAGAAAGAGAGACAGACAGACAGACAGACAGACAGACAGAGAGAGAGAGACGCAAAGGGAGAGAGAGATGGAGATGGAGAGAGAGAGAGAGACAGAGAGAGAGACACACACACACACATACACACACACACACACACACACACACACACACAGGGAGAGAGAGAGAAGCAAAATCCCTTACTGTTTTTCTGACTGCTGAGTCCAGGCCTTCTTAGGTGGCTGAGTAATCTTTGGGAAAAGGACTTTCCGCTTATGTGCAGTGTCCCTCACTGGTCTGAAACACCATATAAAATTATAAATAGAGCATTGGGTGATTATCAGAGATTCACTTGCATCATAATCACATTGCAAATTAGCATGGTGACCTCACAACAGACAATGGTGACATCATACGCAAGGTTCATCAGAGTGGTGACATCACAACAAACCCTGGTGTCATCACAGCGGAGGCTGACGATGCCATAGCAGAGGCTGGTGACATCAGAACAGACCCTGGTGACATCACAACAGAGGCTGGTGACATCACAACAGATCCTAGTGACATCAGAACAGACCCTGGTGACATCAGAACAGACCCCGGTGATATCAGAACAGAGGTCCAAAACAGAGGCTGTGGTGATATTACAATAAACGCCTCAACAAGAAAACAAAACAACTAAAAAAAGAAGCACTGCTGTACCTGTTTGCAAGTTTCTTTGCTGGTGGTTTTCTACGAGGTGCATCCGGTCTGCATGTTGACATAGAACAATTCACAGTAGATAAGTGATGTAGATTTGCAACAGCTCAAATAAGAATTATCTGTGGAAGTGTCTGGTACATACTTCAGTACCGTCAATACCAAAGACCTGCATTTCCGAGACATCCGAGGGGTAGCTAGCCCACTGCGGATACACACACATGCACGCACCCAAGCATGCACGCACACATACACCCACCCACCCACACCCACGCACACATGTGAACACACACACAAGCATGTGAACACACACACAGGTGTACACATACACACACAAATACACACACGTGCGCACACACTCACACCCCGAAAACGAAGCGAACATACAGGAGAAAACGCAGGGGCAAACAGAATTTTCACTTGGCTTTGCGAGACTCACTTCTTTCTGCCAGATGGATGGACTGAGGTGTCGCTTGATCCGCTGGAACTATGGCCGGTTCAAGCACAACACATTTAAAACATTCAGGCATGGCATGGATACGTATGCACACAGGCAACCGACATCATAGCTAGCAAGCGCATGTAAATCATGTAAGTTGAAAATCATTATATTTTGCGAGTCAACTTTTTTCACCATCTCTTTTCAACCAGGACAAAGTAAAGTCGGCCGAACGAAGCCTAGAGGAGGAGAATCATCCTGTCCACTTCATCATCACGATACTGATATACAATGTAGCTACGAGACGACTTAACTAGAAAATCCACAAGGAAACCGTTCACTCACCGCCGCGCTGACTTTGGTCTGAGAGTTTCTATTACCATAAAAAATGTACGAGAGGCACTCAAAAATAAGCTACAGACGTATTATTTTCGCCCTCTACTCTTTTTGAAAGGCACGAAAGTCGTTTGTCCACTTTCAAACCAGGAACAAGACATACTAACGGTCATTTTCAGCTGCTCCACGAGTAGGCATTTACCAAATCGGCCGGCCAAAAATTCGCCGAAAACAGTGGTTTTGAAGAAATCACCGATCTTTTCGCCGGATAAGCAATTTTTCGCCAAAAATCGATGTTTTGTTGCCTCAACAGAATACAAACACAATTTCTGTAGCCATTATCTGCGAAAGGTGACTGCTACTTTAGGCATTTCCGAAAACGGTGAGCAGGAAAGGACGCCGAAATCAATGGCTGTCAAGAAATCGCCGATAATTGCACGGGATTGGCAAATTTCGCGCTGAATTCGCCGAAAAAGGATGTTTAGTGCCTCTTCAGCGAGCAAGCAAAAGTAAATCTGTATTGGGACAGGTAACTACTTCAAGTACTGCTTTGAGCCGAATTCGGACTCTGGGGCTCATAATAGAGAGGTTAAGTTTCACGTAAAGTTCTTACGTCCGTGAACTTTTACGTCAAAAAGTGAAAAAACTCACGTAAAATTTAACGTGTTTTACGCGAGTTGACTGTCCCGCACGTAAGTTCATGACGTGGGTTTTTGGAAGTTTCGCTTGGTTATCCCGACCGAATTTGTGTGAGTTTCCGGAGTTTTATCGAGTTTGTTGGAAGATTGACATTTGTGCGAACTAAACCCGAATCCTGCCAAGCAATATTTCACGTCACGTCGCACGTGTAATTTAACCTCTAAAAATTACACGTAACGTGAGATTTGCACCGCGTTTTGAAAAAGGGCAAAAAACGTGCAACTTAACCTCTCTAATATGGCCGAATTTGGACATTTTCTTGGCCGATCGAAAAGCGGATTAGGCGGAAAAATCCGGGCCGATTTGGGAAATGCCTATCCATGAGCACAGGTAATGTTCAACAAGGGCTGCAGATCAGCATCCATTCCGGCTAAACAGCTAATAATACAAGTAAACCTGCGGCCTGAGACTGAGTACATGAGTACATGAGAGCAGTCATGCAGGAAGTAGTAAAAAAAAGGTTTTGGGGCAGTTCACAAACGTGGTATTATCTTGACATGATTGTATGGCAAATAATAATGAAAAAGAAAAGAAAAAGAAAAAGGACCAACCCTGCCCTGCCAGTTATGTGGACTTACGGGGTCCCCATGGCAAATAATAACAGTAATTATTGTAAATAATCGATGCGGAGACAACAATTTTATAATAGCAATAAAGAGGACAAATTGTACTGTCATCGCCACACTACAACAAAGTCATGAAGGTTTACCAAAATCGATTTTCTTGTCACAATCATCAGTGGAAAGCCGAGACTGAAGAGAAACCATGCTGAATCAATGATTAATATACATTCTATAATGATTGTGTTACGGGAACAAAACAAAGTGCTAAAATAGAATGAGGGAAGGTGAGACAATAGAAGTGAAGTGAGAGCTAAGTCCAACAGGGGCGAGGAACTAATTGCAATGCTAGAACTGTGTAGTGAGACAAACAATCATGCTGTGCACCTACGAAAACAATCTTAACGCAACTACATGTTTCTTCTGCTTACAAAGATCAGGCTTATGCAAACGAATACAAACAGCCTCAAGTAGTTTCAACTGACTAGCGTACCGTGCACGACAAAGAACAGAAAAACTAAAATCATCATACACCTGCAGACACTAAGGGCGAGACAACAGATGAAGAAAAACGGCAGACTTCGTACGATCACCATTGCGCGAAATCGCGCATCTATGAGCGACATCCACATAAACTGCTGGGACCATGGTTGTGTACTCGAATCTCATTCTGAGCACCCTTTTTTCTTCCTTTTTTCAGCCGTTTTTTTGCAAAAAGTCCTCGAGCTCGACTTTTTTTTATCGATCGTTCTAAGGAAAGACGAGTGGACAATCGATCAACAGGGCCGAGGGAAAATGCGTCTGGTTGGAGTTCTTGCGTGGCACAGGATGACCAGACACACATATAGATACATTGCGACGATCTTATCTGCACAGTGTTTCCTAATACCGCACGCACGACGGTAAGTACAATTCATGTGATTTCAAATTGTTTGTGATCTACAACGTCGCGAGCAGGACGGAAATACAGCAACAGCACGACAACCGTTATACCAGGCAGTAACCAACAGTCACCTCCGTCACATTCTCCAGATCAGAAGGCAAGTGAGGCAGTGAACATGAAGAAATAAAGTATGAAAGAATGAAAAGTGAATAATTCAAAAATCTCAGAAACGTTGAACGTAAAAAACACTGAGAACAAGAAAAGTGACTTACTTCGATGGCAAAAGACAAAGCGAATGTTCCTCGTATGGACCTGCCTCTTGCGGAATCAGCCACACTGTGGAACAATGTGTTTGATTCCACAAGGGATGGCTACCTGCTCCTCACCAACCAGCCTCCACGACGGTGGTAAAGTCGCCAAAAATACAAAAGTTGAACATTTTGTGCATGCATGCAATAGAAAATTTGTGCTGAGTATGTCGAGTGGCCATTCGCACAGGACAAAGCCGTTGCGCAAGCTGTGACCCTGAAATTTCGTCCATTGGTAGCGAGGGTAACCCTGAGCTGGAAAGTGTAAGGGATGGCATGCTACACTCCCCCGCATACGCTTGACAGCACGATTTGAGGCGTGGAGTAGTAATATACCAGTATCTTACTACCCCCTGATACCTGATGCATGGACGTCGTCATCTTCATCCCGCAGATCGAAAATGTACAGGTGTCGCGTGATTTCGCGCAATGAATCACCATCCGATTCCTCGTCTCCACCGACCGCAACCTCGTCCTCCGTCTCATCTTCCAACTCGTCTTCAGTGTGGTCCACTGTGTCATTCTCCTCATCCACACCGATCGGTCCCAGGCTCGCTTCATGTTGCTTAGCCTCTGTTCGTTGACACCTCCTTTGATCTTGATGGTAATTCGTTACCATTGTTGTTGTTGTTGTTGTTGTTGTTATTGTTGTTGTTCCTGTTGTTGTTAAAACTTCTGTTCCCAGTGTCTTCGCCGGTGCTTGACATCCAGAACTGTAATAATTCATTGAATAATTGGCCGTTGATCGTCTAGGTCTTTGAATGTTGATCGTGTTGTTTTCTCTGTTGAATTCCGTTCCCTTCAGCCTTCTTTCTCCTTGTTCATGTTCAGTGCTTACCTCATCCATATTTGCCCGTGCCACCGACACCATAGACTCAGCCCCAGCACTGCCGATGACAGATGCAGGTGGCGGTTCTGGGGGAGGCAACGGCGGCGATGGTGGCATCAGCTCATCACAGCGTCCTCTTTGGTCTGGAGCTGGATGTTGTTGTGGTGTACTTTCTTGTGTTGTTATCGTACATTGTGTTGTGGTGACAATGTGCACATTATCCATCTCCACGGCTCTCGATACGGGTAATGGAGGCACTATTGCCAACGACGGCAATTGTGCTAACGATGGCTGTGACCGAGGGTTCTTAGGTGGCCTGCCGCGTTTGGGCCGCAGTGCCCGTGCCGAGCCAGTTAGCATGTGCAGTGGGACGTGCTACTTGATACGTGCGTTCAGATGTTGAAGAGTCCTACCAACGTACCGACTACCGCATTGTCGGCACTCAAATTGGTATACCAATTTAGATGCGAGTTGGGTTGGTAGGACATCCTTCCTCACCATGAACGCACGTACCGTTGTGAAAACGGGTACAAAATGTACCGCGTAGTACGTTTGTTGTACAATTTTCCGGACCACGCGACTCATGGATAATGAGAGGTTACATTTCCAAGGGAGAGATAGATATGTGGGACATTTGTCCGGGCCAAAACGTATTTCCTTTTTATGCAGCCTTTTGCTCATGAGTTCCTTCAAGAGATCGTCGGGATATCCGTTCTTTAGAAAAACTGATTTTAGGAAGTCCAGTTCCTCAGCTAGTTTGGAAGAGGGGCAAATACGCTTTGCTCGATCCACCAAAAATTTCACGGTTCGCGTGAGACTCGGTTTCTCTATATAGAGGCCGAGTTTTCCGCATCCGTAGGAACGCCACCACCCTTCAAGGATCAAGGCGCAGATGCAGCTCCTAAAGCGGTGGGAGGTGAGTAGATCAGCTCACCAGCATGTGGTCAAAGACCGAAAATCCCATTCACTGCATCCATGTTCGATCCACCAAGTTACGCACTAAATTCACCTTGTATTGGTACGAACATTACGAGTCAAAAATTATGTACTGGCCGGTGAGGACTCTTCAACATCATGTTCCTCTGACCGGTACTGATAACCCGTGCGAGCGTGAAAATTTGTTGCTTGTCCCTACTTACGAAGTAGTGGTTGCGACTTCGGCGATGATTTGTAAGAAAGGGTTTGCTCCCTACACCGGAGCTCGCGCTATTCCGCTGACGTACCAGCAAAAGATACCAGTTTATACTATATTATGTTGCACTAGGCTGCATGCAAGACTGCATGTGTATCAGGTTTAGTACGTTCGGTGTTACGAGAGTGGGTGCAGTACATTGTTTTATGTTGTCAGTAAAATACTCATACTCGCTCGAATACTCGCTCGTTTTTTTCAAAGAGTACTTGAGTCCTCAATTCTGGCACTCGTTTCACCCCTACCTGAAACACTGTGTATTGAGCAGGGAGTGGTGCTTTCTTGCAGGTTTGCGGAGTCGAAGGTTCGATGGACTTCTCGTGTGCTCTGGATGGCAGTCGTGAGTCAGTCAAGTGTCAAGTAAAGTTGGCGGAATATCGCGAGCTCCAGTGTGGGGAGCAAACCCTTCCTTAGTAATAGTAGATTTTATTATTTGACTAGGGGAGTCCCAACAGGCATGGCCTTGTTACAGGGAATCCTAGGTGTATCTTTGCGAGGCGTGACCTGGTTGGCCGGAATGGATGCTTCTCTGCGGCCCTTGGTGAACATTACCTCTGCTCGTGGAGCAGCTGAAAAGGACCACTAGTATGTCTTGTTCCCGGTTTGAAAGTGGACAAACGACTTCCGTGCCTTGAAAAAAGAGTATAGAGCTACAAAGCTACGTCTGTAGCTGATTTTTGAGTGGTCTTCGTACAATTTGATGGCAATAAAATTATTTTAGACCAAAGTCAGCTTGGCGGTGATTGTACAGTTTCCTCGTGGATTTTTCAGTTGTTCCGTCTCGTACTTATGTCAGTATCGTGATGGTGAAGTGGACAGGATTATTCTCTTCCTCTAGTCTTTGTTCGGCCGACTTTGCTTCGTCCTCGTTGAAAAATGATGCTGAAAAAAGGTCGATTCGCAAAATATGTTGATTTTCAATGTAGATGATGACATGCGATTCCTGGCTATTCCTTTTTGACACATACACATACACACCACAAACTCCGACAGGCACTGGCTGTTGGTTGCAACCCAGGAGGATGAAAGAAGAGCTACGAAAATGAGAAGGAGAAGAAAGACGTGTGCAACTATATTCGTTGGGAATTGAGCCAACAACCTCTCGATTGGAAAGCAACTGCATCTGCCACTGCACCATAACAGACACATTCACGCTCACAACCCAAGGTCACATGACACGTCAATCCAAACAGTTCGTGCTCATCCCCAGTGCTAAAATGAACAGTTGAGATGTGCGATGAGGGCAGAAGCAAAGATTTCATCACGGACCCCGTGTTCGAACGCACTACAAAACCGCTCAGAAAAATCTTACTCCTTCTTTTGGTGCTTTGGTCTCATCTTGTTCCTTTGTACCATCTCATTCCTCTGTCTTGCTTTCGCCTCTGCAGTGCATGTTGACACAGGGAACAATGGAAGTAAAAGCACACAGCCATTATCAGTACGTGCATTTTCGCGTTGAAGTCGACCGATAGGTCCACTTCGTCCACATCGAAAGTGATTTTAGTTATCAGCACACGAAGAGACGAGACCAGTTGTAAAGCTGATGAGGACTTTTCTACCATTACAGTCAAACCCGGTGTAAGCGACCTCTGGGTTTAACGACAACCCGCTCTTAACGATCGCCTTTCCCTGCACCGACAGTTCTACGCAGACACTGTGGGACCTGATCCTAAAGACAACCTGGCTTGAACGACTGCTTTTGCTTGCACCGCGGGTTTGGTCGCTTAAAAACTGCGCTTCTCAAAGCAGTACAAGATGATTAATGTCTCGCCGTGTGCTAATTTGTTTCCTCCTACTACGTATTGGTTTTAGTTATACTACAGGAACAGACAAGCACATGGTTGAGAGATGAAAACATGTGTGTGGTGGTTGCATGCGAACACCATACCTTGCTGGTGACGTTGGTCTGTCAATTTGCCTTGAGTGGTCAGTGACCAAGCCTTGCCATCTTCCATCGCCAAGAGGTCGGCCATGGAATGGTCCGAAGTCCTGAACGACGCCAGAGGTGTAGAAAGAAAACAATTCACGAGTTAGGGTTGGTCGCTAAACCAACTGGGACACAGTTAGACGGAGTTTTCTGTATCTGCAGGAATGCCACCACCCTCTCGGATCAGGGTGCATTTCAAGGTGCATGCTGTATAAGCAGAATTATTCGCTGGCATTTAATTTCATCTTTTTCGTCCAAGGAACCTTTGGACTAAATTTAATGCCGGACTAATGTCAATTTTTCCAGCTTTTCAATACAGGTACACTCTTATGATCCACGAAATTTACAACCGGACGAACTCCGTTTCTTTTGAGTTGGACGAAATTATTGACCGAAGAAATTTTTCTGCGTGTACAGTATGCAGCTCCTGAAGCGGTCAGAGATGAGTAGTTTAGGCCATCAAGAGGACTTTAAATCCCATTCACTGCATCCATGGGGAAAAACAGAGATGGGGAATTTCCCATGCGCAAGGTCCAATCCCGTATGGTTTCTGTTGACATTGTGTTGTCAATGTGAAGAATGCAGTAGACATACAACATAGCAACCGCAAGCATGCACAAAGAACCAACAACCAGCTGTTGTGTTTAAACAAGCGGCGGGGCGTCAACAACGTGAAGACAGCGATCAAAGAGACCAACTGAATCGACATTTCAAATCGGCTTTATTGTACATGGGTTATTGTACATGTTCTTCGCACTACATGTGCAATAATGGCATTCCGAAATGTCAATTCAGTCGATCCTGATGATCGCCATCCTCAACCAGCTGCTGTGTCTTCCTCGAATTCCTGAACTCCAATCAAAGTTCAAGAGCAGCATACGGTCAAAGAGCAGTACACGACCTTGTCTAATGGCTGCATAACTCTAGACTATATTATAATTATGTTAACAAGTTACTTGTTGTCTGATGATTGGTTTTTGCCATGAAACTCTGAGTAACAACAAAACAACAGCCCTATTTACTTCCTCTTGTGTACCTCTTGTGCAAGTTACTTGAGATGGATGTGTCCGGCCCATCCTGCAATTGTTGGCCAAAGTGTTCCCATAAAGTGCTCCCATAATGAAGTATAAATCAAACTTCATGGCACAACCGTTTTGAAGATTTCTCTCACGAAGGGAACCAGGGCTCTCGCCAAGGTGACATAGCGGGGCGCGGCGCCCTCCTTCACTTTTTGACCGCCTCTTTTCAAAATGAATGTGCCACGCTTCAGAGTGCAAGCACAACCTTTTTATACGTATGATAAGTACACATATCATGTTGTAGCACAGCCGCATAAAATGGCTGCACAACAATGGCGGTAGAGTCACGATATATCGGTTCTGGTGACGACTCGCACGTCCATCTGCAGCTGCAAAATGTGCAACACGGCATTGCAGAGCAACTGTAATAATCATCCTATGCTTCTGGACGAGGGGTGCAAGCATATCATAGACTTCCCTACCGTTGCTCATCCTTCTCGGAGCCCGAGCCTCGTGTAGAGTGTGGCGATGGATCCTTGTCCTGTGTTGGCAGTGGAGATCGACTGCATGAAACATGTAAAATGCATTCCTACTGGAATTAGGTGTGCAAACTTGAACTCGGAAGGTGAGCCAATATATTATTATGATCAAGAAAGGAAAAGTCTCAGTACTCCTTGTCAGTTTTGTGCCATTTTGTCGCACTTGTTGACTGTATAAGATCTGGTTACGCTGGTGGACAGTTTGTCATAACTCGTAACATTTTTTTCCTTTTCCTTTCTCCTACTGGAATGAACAAAAAGTAATAGGGAATGGCCGAAGTGCTCCATCGGACGATGCCCTGAAAGTCGAGTCACAGGTAATGTCGCTCTAAATTCGCATGCACAGATCTTAATGCGAGTTTTCCCACCACTTTGAAAGAAGTAACTGGGTCAACTCACAGATCTGGTACGCTTGAAAGCAAAGTCCAGGAAAATGACGCAAACGGCATCTCAATTCTTCAGTTCAAATTCTTGCAAAGAATTTTTTTGTTTTTTTGTTGCCATCTTCCATAGGTCCGTCAAATAGTAGTAATAGGTTTTTGTGCCGGTATCTTCTCTATAAATTTAAATAGCATTATTCAGCTTAACCCCTTCATCCAACAACTGCTTCTCCTCTCAAGAGTTCCCCGTCATCTTTATGGATCGAAACAAGACTTGTCAGGTGTAATAATACTTGCTTTCGTGGAGTGTGGCTGGTGAACTATTCGTGCTGTGGTCCGCAAGCGTCGTGTGGTCTCGTCGGGTCAAATGAAAACCTATCACTAAAGAAAATTATATCCTTCACTAGCCTAGCTGGAGGAGAACAAAATCACTTACTAACAAAATCACTCACTTTAATACCGTGTCCTGTGGTAGCTTTGGAAGCCTTGTTGTGAACGGTGACTTGACTTGGCGCAGTTCCCGCCTTTTGTCACGGATACTCTTTACGGTGACCTTGCCTAGTGAGTTGATTAGAGCACAGTGAAAACCGGGTACGTATAGTCGTATACACAAACATTCATACGGATAAATGCACGCACCCACATTCATCGACATGTGCACACACATGCGCGCGCACACACACACACACTTACACACACACGCACATGCGCACACGCACATGCGCACACGCGCACGCACACCCACCCGTGCACACGCGCGCACACACGCACACACACACACACACACACACACGCGCGCGCGCGCGCGCACGCACGCACACATACACACACACAGTTCTTGAGTCCTGACGATGCACAGGAAGAGCTTCAGATTCGATGTTGCCAACAGCCCATCATAATGCCACACCTCCAGAGGGTGCACATCTCCGGCGTTCAACGGGAGTGAAAGTGCTAGAATCATTCCAGCCAGTGCCTTGCCACCGCAATCACGTACGGACTTGCTGACGAGCGTACACATGTTGCGACATGTGATATACTGTAAAAGCCATATATATATATATATATAACGAAGTGCTAACTCTAACCAGGTAACGAGGAGAAATCTGTCGTTAGAATAGAAATCGTTATACAGAAATCGATACATATACTGTCCTATTGAGCGTTGAGAATGAGTGAGAATCGTTACCTTTGGTACACGTAAACTAGTCAATTTTGGGAAATCGTTATATATATGCGCCTCGTTAGAATAATGGCTTTTACAGTATTCAATGATCCAGGGTAGTCTTTAAAAGCGGCTCACGACTTCGACAGGTAGCGGACAGGAATACTCGCACCTGTAACCTTGCACTCTGAGCTCCAATGCATAGAACAATAAAAGTGGCAACAGCTACAGTCCATTTCAAAAAGTATAGACTTCGGGTCTCACTTCGGGGGACGGAATTGCTGGAGCAAATCCAGAAACAAAATCCTCAAAAAGCTCAAACCAAAATTTGTATTACAGGTAGACTCCCTTTAATTCGAACCTCAAATTGCCAGGCCTTAACTTCGAATTATCCGGAACTTCTAATTATCCAAATGCAGCCCCATGCACTGATATGTATGTCAAAATGCTTGAAATCGCATGCTGAATATTTTTTGCACATTTTTATTTGCATCAACGAAACATAGGTGGTCGTACCGGTACGCGGTCATGTATAACGGATCATCAAAAAACTGGATCGACACAAAATCATTTTGACATTATCTTCATCTTCTAGTGAAGAAGTTGTCAGTCACTGCAACTTTCCTGAAACAATTTCAACGGAAAAGAACTGCGCTGCCTAATCCGCGTCATGAAAGGCCGTTGGACAGCAGCTTGTCGTTCTGAAGAACGGAAGTGGAGCAAAGGCATAGACAATATTTACGACAATAGTGTTGTTGTGCGCCAACATCTCCGCGCACGAGCTGGCGCGGTAAGAAAGGCCATTGAGATCCGCGAAGAGAGTCAGCCACCTGGAAGAAGTCGTCTTCAATCAAACCTTTGCAATTTGCCTCGCACGGGCTTGAACCAAATTTCGAGAGAAGGTGGGTTTCTTGAACGCTATAGTCGATCCTGCAGCGGACCGTCGATCGATTTTTGAGCTACTCTTGGCTAGAGAAGGAGAAAAGAATGAACTTCGAATTACAAGGATAGCAACTCAATCTCACTTCGAAATAACCGTTCAAAGGACATAGCCAATGTACTGTAAACAGCTCTTCTGTACGAAGACTGGGTTCGAATTATCCAACCGGCGCACTTTTCGTACTTCGAATTATGCATTCGATTTTGACTTGAAGTGACTTGCAGAAGATCGGTACGACGAAAAAGTTCGAACTACACGGAATGTTCGAATTACACCGTATTCGAATTAGAGGGAGTCTACCTGTATTTTGAAGGTCCCTGTGAATACTTTTGAAATGCGCCGTAGCTGGCTGGAGATGCAGCAGTTCAGTCCACATATGCGCTGTACTCTACATATCTCAGGCTATGATCAGGTTTCTCCCAATACAGGTGGAATCCTGATAATTCGAACCTCCAAATGCCCGGAAAAAACTTCTAATTATCCGGACATTCTAATTATCCAATCATGAACCCACAACACAATATGTATGTCAAAATGCTCCGATGGTCACGCAGAGTTGCGCTATGGACCTTAGACACAGATTTCATGGATACTGAACTTAACAGCACAGCCTGCTCATGCAAACTGAACTGACTAGTACAGTGTACAGTGAACTTCGAATTACACTTTGCTAACTTCGAATTATCAGCACAAATCCCACACATTTTCTATGTATGTGTGGTGGAATCCGTGGAACTTCGAATTAACCGGACATGTCCGGTTCGAGGTTCGAATTATCAGAATTTTGTATGTGGGAATCGTATTGACAGAAACCGGTCCTGGAAAAACTTCTAAATAAGCCGTATGTTCGAATTAAGCCATATTCTAATTATCAGGATTCAACCCGTATGTGACTACTCTTACCGATCATTTAACCTTTAGACACCTTACCTTCTTGTTGGGTTACCAACTGGTAGCTCTGCATTGACCGCACGTCAACGTTGTTTACTGACGATGTGGTGGCCGCAGTGGCTTCTGCTGCTGCCGCTGCACTAGGCGTGCCCGCTGCTGCTGCTGCTGCTCCTGGTGATGGTTCTTGGTCGGAAGACGTTCTAGGCTGCGTGCTATCGCTGGCCGTGTGCTGCGGTGGCAATGTGTCTCGCTGGCGTGCAGCCTGTGGTCGCGATTGGTATTGCGTCGTCGTGCCTTGGGCTGCAAGCGTATCCGCAAGGGAACGCATCGTTGCCACACCGCTGGACGCTGCTCCAACCGTGGACGCATGCCTCTGCAAAGTCCCTTGTGCCTGAGATTCATGTTTCTGTTCCACAGTGCCCGGATGCTGCGGTGGCCTGTTGCTGCCGCCAGTAAGCTTACTTCTGCTATATCTGGTGTATGCTCGAGCCCTCTCTTTCGGGTCGCCCAACATAGCAAGGGTCAGCTGGCCCCTTCGAGGCCTGTAGTTGCCTGGTGGGGGAAGGCCTGGAGGAGGGGCAGGTATCACCGTCTCTTGGGACGGAGCGGTGGTGGCGGTGGTGGTTGTGACGATGGAAGTGGACCCTACAGCTGGCAGAAGTGAGCGAGATTCCTGCGTAGTTCCTCTCCCGGCCGCCCGCCCTCCAGTTAGTCTCGGGAACGTCGACTCGCCTGCTTGTGCAGCGCCAGCCACGCAGGGTCTGTTAGGCTGGCTTGCTGCACCCGTAGGCAGGGATGATACGGTGCTCGCTGCACCCATGCCACGACTGCTGGCTTCTTGGAGAGATGCGTCGCGTATGGCTGTGTTTCGATTGATCACCGTGGTGCGTATGGGATTATTTCCTAGTGGAAGGTCAGACACACTACATGTGATCTGCGCCGGCTGTGCTTGTCTTGCTGCAGTGCCCGGTATGGCTGGCAGTGTACTCTGCTCGGTGCTTCTCTGTGCTGGCTGGATGCTCACGGAACCTTCTCCGCGCCTTGGAGCACGTGGGGGATTACCCCTGGGTGGATTGGTTGCCATAGTAGCAAGGGAGTCTCTTCGTGCTGGCCGGATACGCGTGGAACCTTCTCCCTGCCTTGGAGCACGTGGGGGATTACCCTTGGGTGGATTGGTTGCCATGGTAGCCGGTTGATTCCCCGAATGATCGTACCCTGCACTGGAGTGCCCGGCGGCGTCAGGTTGCTGCGCAATGCGCCTTAGCCGCCGCGTCCGGTGATTTAGTGCATCCTCAGGATCGCCTATGGCGCTGAACTCGTCCATGGGTGCTGCCGCAGCTCGATTTGGATTGTGCGGTTCCACTAGGGCGTCGTACACGATCGGGGTGCGTCCCGTTGGTAGTGCTAAGTCATGGTGTTCTGCCACGACGGGATGCACAGCATGATATCCAGGTTGAACGGGAGTTTGGAACATACCTCGACTGGCCGCAGCTGCTGGCTGGGCTGATGCGACGGCCTCTTCTTGCACCCTGCTCTGTTCGCTGTCGGCAAGGAACACTGACGTGTCCGTGGATGCGAGCGTGTGGAATGCACGCTGGTCCTGGCCTGGTGGCGGTCTCTCTTGGCTGCCGAGTGGGCCTTGACGCCTTGAGCGGGCTTCCACTGCCGTGGGCAGCAGCTGATTGGAAGTTGACCTTATGGACAGTAGGTTACGATTCGGCCGGTTAAAGTGCTGATAGCTTGGAGGGGGACCGGCAGGTGGTTGTGGGTGTGGAGGTGGCTTGTAGCTGGTCGAATGCGTCGTTTGATACGGATCAAAGTCGTCAGTGCCGACAACAGCAGAGGAGCGCGTAGTGTTCGGGCCAATGGCCGTCCCATCGAAGAGGAACACCAGGGGGCGTTTGTCTGCCGAATCTGACGAAGCTGCTACTTCCGGCAGTGGGGCAATACTGCTCCTTTCCTGGTGTGAAGATGCCGCCGGGTTCACTTCGCGTCGTCTGGGTGTGCCAGCGCCTCTCAGGTATTGAGCACGAGCTGGACCTTCGGTTGGTGGCGGTCCAGGGGTTGCTGCAGGAAGAATGGAAATGCGCAGTAGGTTGTGCAGTAGGTGGACATCCGCCCCTAACCTGAACCCCCAAGCCATCGCCCAACAGCTGCTCGATTTCAGGTGCGCTCGCTGAAATCCGACCCGAAATGCAAAACTGACGCGCTGGACCAGTTCAGAGTAGATCACCGCACTTGTGCATATGGGTACGCACAGCTGTATTTGTGCCTTTTTCCAGAGTCTCCAGGGCCGTGAAAGTGGAGGGCGCCAAAGATGCACTCTGGGTCCGATTTCACCGAACGCGACCGTAGTTGAGTCAAGAGTACATGAACACGAGTGTGCAACTGAGCAACTAGTCTGGTCCACAGCGGAATATTTTGCTGTTATCACCTTTTCAGAACCTTTGACGCGTGGCGTACAAAGTACCCTTAAGCCATGCGCCTGATGACGTCCTTCATCACAAGTTGGTGCTTTGCCGCTTTCAAAACGAAACTTCAAAGCTTTTTCTCCCGCTTCTGTAGCTTTTAATGGGTCAATGCCATAATCGTAGTGCAGGTTCAGTGAAGCCGTGCCGAGCTCACGACCACGGATTCGCAGTGCATGCCTCGTACAACCAAAACAAGCAGAGTTGTAAAGTCTACTTATTGCGTGATCTTGCTTTATCCCATGCTCCGTGGTACGATACGATTTGGGCAATTTAAGTCAATCAGCGGCCATTCTGAGTCGGTGTAGAGCAATATTGTTTTAGCCCGCAATTTTAGTCCATATCTGCTTCTTGTTCTACTGTTATGGTAACAAAATGAGAAGGACAAATGTTACGAGTTAATAAATGTCCACCAACGTAACCGGTTCTTATAAAGTCAGCGAGTGCAACAAAATGGCATAAAACCGACAAGGAGTACGCATATGCATATGTACATTTTCGAGGAGTTTCGAGGAGCTTCGTTTTTTTTCGAATAGGCCAATAAGGCCATCTCTTCAGAAAAACGAAACTCCTCGAAAAGTCAAAGATTGACAATTCAAACGCGCCCTAAATATGGGACCATTAGTGTTGGTCAACATCTAACAGTTTTTTAGGACAGTATATGAGATACATGGATAGTACCACTCATACTCTGTGTATACCGTTCTCCCTCATTTTTTCCCCCGTGCTGATGCACTCGTGGGAAAATTCGCCGGTATACCCCTCGTACTCAAGGTATAAACCATACTGAGAGCATGTACCAGACAAAAAAGGACTCGGGTCCAACTAACTTCATCTACGAATAAAGTCGACCTACCCTTATAACGATAACCTCTATAACAATAGACATCCTTAGCAAAACTGTGATAACACTAAGCTTTACAGTACTCACTCCCAGCCGCGACTAAATACGTTATCGGGTAACGGATAAACGTTACAGAGCTCAAAATAACGGGCCGATGTTCGTCATGGTAATTCTGAAAAAAAATGCAAAAACTTGCATTGTTTTGAAACTGGCGGGAGATAAAAAGCACGTGCAGATCGAGATGAGAGTCGAGATTGCTTCCTCTTGTGACATTTAGCTTTTTTGGCGAGTTTTGCCTTTCAGTTGACAATGTCTGCGTCCTCTGCTTCGTGCCTTTCACCCTCTATCCCATATGGGAAATAAAGAACCAGTTCCACGGCACTCCTGAGGAAGAAATTCATCGGCCTCTCCCAGAGGTGCTGGAGCTGGAGAACCCTCACAGTCTTCGGTGCGGGGTTTAGGAGAGGTTTTCCAAGCACCTGGGAACAGCGAAAACTCATTTTCGCCGTACTTTTGCTATTCCAGAGTAAAATACCTTGCCAAGGTATTCTTTCGGAACGACAGCAATCTAATCCCTGGTTCAAAATTTGAATTTACCGCACCTGTTTCCACGAAAATTCATATCGCCATGGTTGTTACGACTACTTCGTTTCAACTATAACAAACATTGTGCTAAGGGAAAAGTCAGCTGGAACGATCCGAAGTACGGAAAGGTTTGCGTTTACGTTAGCGTTTTTTAGCTAAGGATATCTAATATCACCTTTATAACGATAATTATGTTTCTGCCAAACAAAATCCATCCGTTGACTTGTGTGTAAAATGCCTTACCTCTATAACAATATTGCTATAACGATATTACCCGTATTATTATTATTATTATTATTATTATTATTACTTGCATGTACGCGTTGGAGTCAACCATGCAAGCATGATCCACAACTTCGCTTATGCTGAACATGATAAACAGGACTATGACAGGGGAAAAAAATTGAGCTAGAACGATGATATGATATAATAATTATCATATACAATGTAGCTCATGGGTATTGAAGATATGTCATTTATGAATATGTCTATATGTCATTGAATATTGCAGCCTGAGTGATAATAATAGTGCTATTTCCTGAGTTGGACTGTTTCAGGATCTGTCGGAATATCACGATGAACAGATCTTCATACATAGATCTCGCCATGCGGGTCGGTCATGGCCAATGGCTCGCAGGCTCTGCAGAGCGTGTAGGTTCCCGAGCAATCCGGCATTGGCTTGGCGCAGATCTCCCACCAATGCCTGCGGCAGGGTCGTCCGCGGTCTACCCCTACAGCATTGCTGTTGCTGATTGGCGAAGTACGCGAACATAGCCATCACAGCTGGGATTCATCTGCCATCCGCAGGATGTGGCCAAACAGCCTCCAGCGTGATCTCTTGACCATGACACTCAAGGGTGTCAAGAGGTTACCCGTATAGCGATATAAAATGGACTGTCTAATCAACATTTTCCATTTTATGGCAATATCTAGCAGGGAAAGCTTCACTTGATAAGTTACTGGGAAATGACGAAACGCAAAGGGGGCACCAGTGGGCACCGTGCTGTGTACATAATGTGCATGTACACCAGTTCTTATGCTATGAAGAGTGTAAAAAATGAACAAAATCCATGCATTACGACGTATGTGTATGAAATGAACCAGTTACCCCTATAACAATATTACCTTTATAATATCTCTTGGTCTGACGCAAATATCGTTATAAGGGTAGGTCGACTGTACCGCCGATATCGCTACTCAGTCCAAGTCTTTAAAGGGGAATGTTAGTAAAGCATCGGGGTCTCCAAAAAATCAGTGCTTTCAACCCATTGCGGCAAATGGAGTTCTCGGGACTTGTGCCAGTAGCTGTGAGACTTACTGTAAAACCAGAAAGTCTAACGACCAATAAGTTAACGTTTTTGTAATTTTGGCATGATAACGTGCAGAAAGTTTAACGATGGCTACCTGGCCAACCATCTGTATGCGCATCTTTACACAGACATCTAGCGAGAACGTGTTTTTCCTATAGCGAAAAATAATTGGTCGTTAAAACGTTAGACTTTCCGGATTGACAGTATCCCCTTCACCCCCACACCCCCACCGTTAGGAGCTGCATCTGCCATTGGGCTACCAGGTGTTAGCGGCAGTCGTTAGCTCCCTTCGGAAAAAGACACAAAAATTTACTTTTATAGAAAAGAAAAGGACTAAGGAACTACAAGTTACACTATAGTGTCCACTAACACCACCAGTTACTAAACAATCAGCTCATGCGATAACATTGAACGACACTGAAAGACGGTACTGACGCTCTACAACTAATTGGCTATCAGGTGTAGCACATCTTGGATGTGCACTCCACCATCCTTCCAACTTGAAGGTTCTACGTTACATGATAACATAGGAGGGGAAGATGAGCGCAACCAAGACAAGCACGAGCTGAAAGTCTCATGCATGTACATCCGCCAACGTCCTTCTCAGCCGAGCTCAGCGGAGCCACCCTTTCCCAACAAGTGAATTGTATCTAAGGTGGCTGACTGTAACGCCCAATCAAAAACTGCTTCTGCCCGTCCTGCACAGTACATAGTGTAAATGCTAACATAGGACACTCACTATGACCCAGGGTCCGATGCATTGCCGCTAATGCATTACTTGTACGCTGGCGTACAGTGGGCACAAGTACAAATGTTCACACACGCACAAGCACACATACATGCACACACACACACACACATGCACACACACACATACACACATACACGCAAACACACACACACACACACACACACACACACACGCAGAAGCAGAAAGAATCAAAATCTGGGACTGACCAGTCATTCAAATCGGGGAGGGGAGTGCCCAACATTTGAACTGCCATTCTGACCAGTGAAATCCAACCTGATGAAGAAAGTAGCACCGCGTTCGAGTGCACGGAACAGTGTGGGTAGTGCTAGGGCTGCGTAGCGCCCGCAGCTACTTTGTTCATGAGGCTGGATTTCACTGCATTTGTACAAGTAACTCCATAATGCAATCCACTTCATCTTCTTGTGCATGAACAGCATCCAAAGCTGGCATTTTATTTGCATACCCAGCCACGAATAATACGGAAAAGACGAATCTCCTAGCCAAAGTGTTTGCGAGCTACAGCCAGGCGCCACTGCTAACACCTGACCTGCACTCAGCTGGTATTTTAACACCCACGTCCACTGTGAAGTTCTCCATACAACCATTCTCTGTGCAGTCCGTATTTGACACGCTATCCAGACTTCCCATTCAACGTAAAACCGCTGGACTGCTGAACAATCGCATCCTCCGTGAAACAGCTGAGGTCACGTCACAGTCTCTTTCCGCCCTTTTCAACCGCTGCTTGCTGTCCAGTACTCAGCCCAGGGAGTGGAAATCTGCCGTTGTTGTACCTGTGTTCAAGGGAAAAGGTAATCCTTCTCACCCAGTCAATTACCGTCCTATATCGCTGTTAAATGCAGTTGCCAAATTGTATGAGTCTATGATTAGCCGTCAGTTTTACTCGTTTGTTGAGAGCCATAAAATTATCAGTTCCAGCCAGTTTGGCTTTTGTCGAAAGAGGTCAACAGTTGACCAATTGGTACAGCTTACCTCAATTGTTTCGCGTGCATTTGACTCTAAGTCTTCTTGTGACCAGCTGTTCCTTGATTTTTCTAAGGCCTTTGACAGAGTTAGTCATCATTTAGTTATTCAATCTGTTTCAGGTTGGTGTTCTCTTTCTGCCTGTTCTTGGGTGAAGGACTTCATCAGTGATCGTAGTATTTGCGTTCGCATTGGCCAAACTCTTTCTGACCCTTTGCCCATCACCGCTGGCGTACCCCAAGGTTCCCATCTCGGCCCGCTTCTTTTTAACCTGTGCATCAACTCCTTTCCTGATGCCCCTGCTTCTAGTACCCTATCCCTTTTTGCTGATGACTCTAATTTAATTCTTGTTTCTCCAGCAAACACCTCACTTCCTATCCATCATGCATTGCTCCAGACTGACATTGATAAGTGTTGTCAATGGTCATCAGCTACTGCCATGACGTTTAACACCAGTAAATGCGTCCACCTACCCTTTCAAAAACATGCATTAGCCCCCGGCCCGTCATCCCCCTTGACAATGAACGGTGTGCCTATTCAGAAAGGTGATAGCCACTGTCATCTCGGCGTGACTATCACTCCTTCACTAAATTTTTCTGACCATATAAAATCTATCACCCATAAGTTTCGCAGTCGTGTTTTTCTGTTGCGCCATATGGCCCATTTCCTTTCTGCTTCAACCGTGAATTTGCTCTACAAGTGTTACGTACGACCACTGTTAGAATACGCAGTCCCTGTCTGGTCATTCGCCGTATCCCATTCAGATTCGCTTACGTTAGACCGACTGCAAGCCGTTGCTGCTCGTTCATATCTGCTTTGTAAGACCCGGCACCCTCCTGAGTGGGAAACCCCGAAGCAGATTCTTAATCGTACTTGTGACTGGTCATCCCTGAAGTGGCGTCGTCAGATTCTGTCCTTGCTGTATTTTCATCATGTCTTTTACCAGTTTCCGTCTTTGCTAATTCGTTTCAAATTCAATTTATCCCTTAGTTGTCGTCACCCGTCCTCTATAGTTTTACCTCGTTCTGGCGCCCATTTCCTTAAATCCCCTCTCTTCAGTTTATCTGTGGAATGGAACAAACTTCCAGAACACATCCGCTGCGTTCAGTCCTCTGTCAATTTTCGCATTGCTCTAAAGGCTCATTACTCACAGCATAGATATTCTCTGACTGGAATTCCGAACTTTTCCGTTTGAGAAATTTTTTTTCCTTGAAATTAATCCTTGCTGGTTTTTTTTTCATCTAAATGTCCCGCTATTATCTGCTGAGGTGATTTCTTCCCTCGTCGATTTCTTTCCTGCTTTTATACCTCGATATTTAGGTACTTGTTTCCCTTCTTCCCATGCTTCATCTTCCACTCTCCTCTCCCCCATTTCCCCATTTTTCTTGCGATATTTATGTGGGAGACTTCCGTGATAAGCATCCATTTGCTTTTGGAGAATCCTTTTAAATAAATACAATACAAATTTTTGACAACTACCGTCGTGGACATGAAAATCCGGTCAGAGGTCAAGCGGCCGCAGGGCGCTGGCCATGCAGCCGTGAGTATGCGTACGGTAGCCACATTTGTTTATGCGCTGCAGCGCTGGTCACATTGGATCAACATGTCGCACTTCATGCAACCTTCCGAAGTCACTGAGTGCGCCGGCCCCGGTCATTCAATCGGATTTCCATGTCCGCGACAGTACGAGTTCTGTACAAGTACAAATTTTCGTTTGGAATTAACTTTCCCTATATTCGTTAGGGGGCACGAAATCACTAAAGTTTGCACCAAACTAAAGTTTTTTTCTGAACGTTCGGGGTGACAGACCTCGACCAAAAACGAAATTTAGGACAGAATGTGGGGAAACTGGAGGTTTCGGAACGTTCGACAGAAACAGCGGAGACTTTGAAAGTTATTTTCGGCCGCCCACCTTGTGAAGCCACTGTGCTACTGCTTCTCCTCAGTAAAAAAAAAAAAAAAAAAACGCAAGTTATCGTGTCCGTTCCCGAAGGGAACTCACGACGGCCGCCAACACCCGGTAAACCCTAAACTCCTCAACTCCTCAGTACTGTAGTGGATAGGGAAATCCGCTGGGATGTCAACGGATATGGCTGATTGGTTTGCAGGCCTGCCTGAGAATCATGAGGTCCGGAGTTCGAGACCCGCGCTGGTAGCAGGGAGCGTGTGAAAAGACTTTTTACGCCTAGTGACCTGCGCTGACACCCACGGTCAACTGGGTACTCACAGCTCAGAGTGAGGATAACAAGGATGCAGTTTACAGGGTTATGGGCCGTTGCACGCCTGATTGGTTGAGAGACTAACCTCCTCTCCACTGACTCATTTGTGAGGTCTGCTTTCGCCACTAAGGTGAACAGGCATCAGTAGTGGCGGCCTGCAGATACGAAGGCTAGTTTGTTTGTTTCTGAACATTCAAGCGATGCCGACCCGGACCCCGCGAATGCAATTATTATCCTTATGAGAAGTCAAGCGGCCACAAAGCGGTGGCCCTGCAGCCCCAAGCACTTAGAAAAGTCAAACACTTGTAGTGGTTAGGAGCATTAGCAAGTCGAATTTTCGAGTGAAATGTCCACAACCATAGCATATCTCAAAAGGTTTATTTCTCAAGCTCAAAATGAACTTACTCTAGTCGAAAATTGTTTCCTGCATGCCTGAATTGCTTTTCCATTCGATTTTCACTATGTTTCGTTTTGACATGCGTAAAACCGAACCGAAAATTCGACTACTGTAAATATACAAAATTTCGGCAATGCAAAATTTCGGCACTTCACGGTTTTGACATTTCGGCGGCGATTTATTCTCGGCGTGGGGTAGAGGGCATGGTATAGTGCGACAGATGCTGTGAAAAATTTCATCGGCGTTTTAATTTAGGCGTTTTGGGTCGGTGCCGAATATAGCCAAAATTAAATAGCTGCCGAAAATTTGTATATTGACAGTATTAGAGAGGTTGCGCACAACAAAAATTCGTTTCAATCCTCAAAGTTCAAATAACGAAAGTTGTTACGAAGATCCGTCAAAACGTGACCGAAACAAGGCAGATATACGACAAGTATTTCGCAACGTGGAGAACTAAAAAACTGATTCTTATGACTCCCCTGTCTTGACTCTTCGTACCCGCGCATGCGCCGCGCGTCGACCTACTACGAAAGAGTTCACACTTGCGTTTACCAATATTCGTTAGCTGTTTTCGTGAAAATATTCCCTACGGTGCTAAGAATTTTTGTTGTGCGCAAACGCTCAATTGTTGCTAATGCGTCGTGCTATCAGAGCGTGAAGACCTCCTTTCACCGGCCTCGCTACAAACGAACTGCCGGAGCATCACCACGAGGCAAGCCCCCACACAGCAATCATTCGCTTACCGGTCGCTGGGAACCGCTTGCTTGGACTGCTTGACCTCCTCGCCTTGGTGCTGGCCGTGGCTGACGATCAGTCAACTCATGTTGTCGACCGTCTCCAGCCGCCGGCTGCCGCCCACCACCATCGCCACCGTCATGTGCCCGTCCACCTCCTCCACGGACTGGCTGCTGCTGTCCGCGGCCAAAATTCCCTCCAGCGGTGGCCATTTGTCTGGAATAAGTTTTGTCCCCCTCTGTCTACCCTACAGCTGTATCAGGTATTAACGCCAGTAGCAGCACAGTTGCATTCTTCGATAGTTGACGGAAACAAGACGCGAAAGTAAGGTACGACACTTCGTAGCGGTGCGTTTCCAGTCGCGAAGAGCCGAATGTACCACTGGAAAGCTGCCCAGCGCAGCACGGAACGGTGAGTTACTGATAATTCTTTCTCATCGGTACACACTCGCAATGACCACTTCCAAGTTCTGGTGTCCCTCCGTCTCCGCTATTTTGTCATGGACACCCGGTTGAGTTACTGGAAAGAGACTGGGTCGCCGTACATTCATGCACTCCGCACGCTGGTCAGGTCTTTCCTCTGGCTACCGGCACACATAGTCAAAAGCATAAACATTGTGGACGACGAGCCCTCCGGTTGAGGACAATCATGTTTTGTCTACTGTCGTCGACGCACACGAATTCAGACAGTACAGTCACAACGAAGTCTGGACAGAGAACAAGGTGACCAGGCGGAACAAGTAACGAGGACAAGAGAGAACTGAGCAAATCTATGTCACAAGTAGATTTACTAGTCCTCACCTTGCTTTCACCTGCTTCACGTAGACTACGTGTGTTCAGTGCAGTGTGAACTGTCGACTGTATCACCAAGGCTCGTGCACTCCAGACGAGCTGTAGCTCGTTGTCGGTGGTGATCTTTCGCACCTACATGTAAGTCCTTTCCAAAAGGTAGTCTGCCAATGGCTATGTAGTACTAGTACTACTACTACTACTAGGCCATATCCCCATTCAGCAAAAGATTCTGCAAGTGGGAGCGAGGTCTAAAATGCACACGAAGATTCGGCATGTTTGCTCGGAAAAAGCTCATTTTGTGTGTATGCGTGTGTGCATGTGCTTGTGTTGGTGTTGGTAGGGGGGGGGGGGGGGGGGCATGTGTGTGTGCCCATGCTTCGGGGGAGAGGGTAAGTAGGTGGCAACGGTGAAATGCAGGTCTTTGGTATTGACTGTACTGAAGTGTGTACCAGACACTTCCATGGATAATTCTTATTTGAGTTGTTGAAAGTTTACATCACTCATCTACTGTGAATTGTTCTATGTCAACATGCAGACCCGATGCACTTCGTAGAAAACCACCAGCAAAGAAACTTGCAAACAGGTACAGCAGTGTTTCTGGTTTTGTAGTTGTTTTGTTTTTCTTGTTTGGCGACATTTGAGGCTTCTATTGTGACTAGCCCTTTCCCAAAGGTGCTCCCCCTTTTTGGACTTTTTTGGAAAAGCCCGTTTCTTTCGCCCTTTATTGCGTTTTTTTGAGCTTTTTTATCTGAAAAAGTGGTAAAAATCTGTTTGCTCATGCTTGCAATCACAGTTTCCGAGTGATCGATGGGCCTTGGAAGTTGGCACGCCACTTTTTTTTTGGGGGGGGGCAACAAGTTGGTGAAGCTTGTCCCTGGTGTACACAATGCTGTAAAAAGTGGGTTTTTTGAAATTTACTTCCTGTTTTGCCTTTCGTGGACCCATAAATGGAAGAGCGCGTAATCATTTCTCAGCTTGGATTCATATCTGAACATGTATCATGGCTATGATTCACTGCAAAAAGAGCACTTTTTGCCTGTTTTCACTAAAAAAGAGAGCACTTTTTCAGCATATTTTGAGGGATGCGAAAGTCACAAAGTGCGAATTAAAAGAGCAGCTTTGGGAAAGGGCTAATTGTGATGTCAACAGCCTCTGTTTGTAGGCCCTCGTTGTGATGTCACGCGGGTCTGTTTTAATGTGTGTGTGTGTGTGCGTGGGGGGGGGGGGGGGGTGCTGGGCCGAAAGGTTTGGAAATTTAGAGGCCAGATATGATTGAACGCAGATATTAAAAGTGTATCTTATTGATTCACGGGGTACCTGGGGAAAAGAGTGGTGCTGTCAATACCGTAGTGACCGTACCGTGTCCGACGCACCTGCTTGTATCAGTCTCTGCTTATCACCTAATGCTCTATGTGTAATTATGGTGTTTCAGACCAGTGAGGGACACTGCACATAAGCGGAAAGTCCTTTTCCCGAAGATTACTCAGCCCCTTCATAAGGCCTGGACTCAGCCGCCTCAGAAGGCCTGGACTCAGCAGTCTGAAAAAACAGTAAGGTGTTTGGCTTCTCTCTTTCTCTGTCTCTCTGTCTATCTCCCCCTCTCCGTCTCTCCATCTCTGTCTCCCTCTCCGTCTCTCCGTCTCTCCATCCCTGTCTCTCTCTGTCTCTCTGTCTGTCTCTCTCCGTCTGTCTGTCTCTCTCTCTCTCTCTGTCTCTTTAGCCCCATCCCTCACACAAACAAGTCAACAAAGAGGCATCTTTGGATTGAGGAGTGCTGGTTTCGAAACAACTGGTTGGAAGCTCAAAGTAGAGCTGGTGTTAGCTCAGAGCAGAGCTGCTGTTAGCTCAGAGCAGAGCTGCTGTTAGCTCAAAGTAGAGCTGCTGTTAGCTCAAAGTAGAGCTGCGGTTAGCTCAAAAAAGTAGAGCTGCGATTAGCTCAAAGTAGAGCTGCTGTTAGCTCAAAGTAGAGCTGCTGTTAGCTCAAAGTAGAGCTGCTGTTAGCTCAAGGTAGAGCTGCTGCTAGCTCAAAGTAGAGCTGCTGTTAGCTCAAAGTAGAGCTGCTGTTAGCTCAAAGTAGAGCTGCGGTTAGCTCAAAGTAGAGCTGTTGTTAGCTCAAAGTAGAGCTGCTGTTCGCTCAAAGTAGAGCTGCGGTTAGCTCAAAGTAGAGCTGCTGTTAGCTCAAAGTAGAGCTGCTGTTAGCTCAACGTAGAGCTGCAATGCTAAATGGATGTAATATAGCGCAAGGCAGAGCCGCAGCAAATAGCTAGATAACACCAGTTGTGAGAGTGGACCCGATTAGTGGGTACGATAATTATGATGGTGTGAATAAGTTGGATAGGGAAGGATGGTGGGAAAAGAAACACTGCTGAAGCACGATCCGTTGTCTGGAAGAGCACAACAGGGCAAGCAAGATTTGTTTTTCTTTTCCGCAAAATGGGCTGGTGCCATTTGTGATTACGCAGCAAAACAAAACGCATGACGTCAGTCTTGAATGCAGTACAAAGCAATGCAGTGCAGTGTGAGCGCTAGTTCGGATTGTTGCTAACAAGTACTAACACAGCTAGTACACCATTAGCCCCATCCCTCACACAAACAAGTCAACAAAGAGGCATCTTTGGATTGAGGAGTGCTGGTTTCGAAACAACTGGTTTGAAGCTCAAAGTATAGCTGGTGTTAGCTCAGAGCAGAGCTGCTGTTAGCTCAGAGCAGAGCTGCTGTTAGCTCAAAGTAGAGCTGCTGTTAGCTCAAAGTAGAGCTGCGGTTAGCTCAAAGTAGAGCTGCTGTTAGCTCAAAGTAGAGCTGCGATTAGCTCAAAGTAGAGCTGCTGTTAGCTCAAAGTAGAGGTGCTGTTAGCTCAAAGTAGAGCTGCTGTTAGCTCAAGGTAGAGCTGCTGTTAGCTCAAAGTAGAGCTGCTGTTAGCTCAAAGTAGAGCTGCTGTTAGCTCAAAGTAGAGCTGCGGTTAGCTCAAAGTAGAGCTGCTGTTAGCTCAAAGTAGAGCTGCAGTTAGATCAAAGTAGAGCTGCGGTTAGCTCAAAGTAGAGCTGCTGTTAGCTCAAAGTAGAGCTGCAGTTAGATCAAAGTAGAGCTGCGGTTAGCTCAAAGTAGAGCTGCTGTTAGCTCAAAGTAGAGCTGCTGTTAGCTCAACGTAGAGCTGCAATGCTAAATGGATGTAATATAGCGCAAGGCAGAGCCGCAGCAAATAGCTAGATAACACCAGTTGTGAGAGTGGACCCATGAAACCAGCACTCCGTTAGCTAAGCACTATCGACGCACAGCAAGGGTCAATTAATGTCAGCACAGGCAAGCTTTGCGCAGCTAGAGTTCAGTAGCTCATTACTCACCCGAGTTGGGGATCATCCATGGCACGGCAGCAAGCCGGGACGATAGCTGGCGCTTAGCGCTTGTTGTAGTCCGGATGTAGCATAGACACGCATCACTCTTTCCACTGACCTGCCACTCGGAAGAAGGAGTCGGGGGAACTAGCCATAGCAGCGGTGGTGGCTGCACCAATGTGGACCGAATGCCCGGAGTAGTTCGACTGGGATGGTACACCGGCCGTAGCGACAAGAGACCGTGCTGTTACTGTGAATGACTGCCTGGTCAGCTGCTGTCTGTTCGAGAGTACGAACAAGAGTTGCTCCGGTTCCTCGCGATGAGTGACAAATGGGTAGCTAACAATGGCACGGACCGGGCAGTACGGCGGTACAGACGGGCCAATGTCACTAGTAACGCCTTTACCGAATGGGTCCGTCTTGGATGAAAGCAGGAAGAGTTGCAGGCGTCCGTCACCAGGGGAGCTAGTACAGCCCCATGTGATGCCATTAGTGAATTCAGCACACCGAAGAAATCCAAAGAAGCAGCATGGCGGCTTGGTAGAGCAGCTTTTGTCATGGCCATTCAGGATACTACTTTTCCGGCGTGCATCCGTCAGGTGTCGTAGGATTGGCATAGTTATAGGAAGGCGAGGGGTGAGTACAGCCGTACCATGGCATCGCTGGATGCCCTTCAACACCCTCTTCAGAAGCCACGCATCTACTAAGGGGCCGGCAAACCCATTCTCAAGGTGGGCTTTATGCACTGCACTCGCATACACAGATACAGTTCAGGGCACGCTGATCATAGTTCACGCATGAATGTGTGTCCAGGAACGATGACTCGGGCAGCAAAAGTGAGCTTCCCCAGGAGGGACTCGAGTTGACGCTGGCCGATGCTGGGCTCGCTGATAGTAGCCATGAGTGGCGCACGGATCTCGGACAGCTTGTCCTCTGGTAGCCGAGCTTGGTGGCGCTCGCAGTCTAGGACAATACCAAGGAAGGTCAATGATGGTGATGGCCCTTCGAGCTGGGATGGAGCAAAGAAGAGTGCCGAGATACGTGAATGACCGGAGGGGGATGGTGAGTTGCTGGTTGGCTGCAGCCAAACCAGTGGAGATATCGAGAAAGTCATCGAGGTAATGAAGCCGGTGATCTATAGCAAACTCGTGCTGCATGATCCAGTTGACTGGTGTGGCTACTGAGTCAAAGACGGCTGGGCTGGAGCGGAGGCCGAAAGGCAGAAAGCGCTCGTAGTAGTAGGAGCCTTCCCAGCGAAGTCCTGACGGCGGACTGGGATCTGCCGAAATGCACTGCGTACATCGAGCTTGGACAAATACACAGGCTGTGGGCATGACATGATGATGTTGATCGCGTTGTCAATGCTCGCGTAGTGCAGAGAGAACGGCTCGGCAGAAATGCTGTCGTTCGCGCTGGTGCCTTCCGGACTAGACAGATGGTGGATCATTCGCAGCTTGCCGTTCTTTTTGGGGATGGCACCAATACCAGAGCGGCGCATGAACTGAAATGGAGGCGACGGAAATGGGCCTGTGGTCTCGCTGCGGGCGCAGGAAGCAGCTAATTGCTCGGATATAAATGCCGAGTGAGTGAAAGCCAAGGGTGGATTATTAGAGAAAACCGAAATGTCGTGTTGGCCGGCAGATCCAAGAGTAAAGCCACGGCGCAG